AAAATCTAAAAAAGTTTTGACCTAGGTTCCCTACAAAAACGATGTAAAGGAACTAATCTTTAAATAAAGAATAAGTTCCATCTCCAGCGTCAAATTGTCATTAGTTTTTTTTTAGTTGGATATGAAACTTATTCTTTTTTAAAGATCAGTTCTTTTTTTTCTTAGGGGTCGTAAATCAAAACTTTTTGTTAGGGCAAATCTTGTTTAAGTTGAATATGGAACTAATTCTTTATTTAAAGATAAGTTCTTTTAGTTCGTTTTTGTTAGGGGTCCTAAGTCAAATTGCCATTAGTTTTTTTAAGTTGGATATGGAACGTATTCTTTTTTAAAGATCAGTTTTTTTTTGTTAGGGCTCGTAAGTCAAAACTTTTTTAGATTTTTTTTTGTTAGGGCAAATCTTGTTTAAGTTGGAAATGGAACTAATTCTTTATTTAAAGATAAGTTCTTTTAGTTTGTTTTTGTTAGGGATCGTAAGTCAACTTGTCATTAGTTTTTTTTAAGTTGGATATGAAACTTATTCTTTTTTAAAGATCAGTTTTTTTTTGTTAGGAGTCGTAAGTCAAAACTTTTTAGATACATTTTGTTAGGGCAAATCTTGTTAAGTTGGAGATGGAAGTAATTCTTTATTTAAAGATAAGTTTTTTTAGTTCGCTTTTGCTAGGGGTCGTAAGTCAAATTGTCATTAGTTTTTTTAAGTTGGATATGGAACGTATTCTTTTTTAAAGATCAGTTCTTTTTTTTGTTAGGGGTCGTAAGTCAAAACTTTTTTAGATTCTTTTTGTTAGGGCAAATCTTGTTTAAGTTGGAGATGGAACTAATTCTTTATTTAAAGATAAGTTCTTTTAGTTTGTTTTTATTAGGGGTCGTAAGTCAAATTGTCATTAGTTTTTTTAAGTTGGGTATGGAACTTATTCTTTTTTAAAGAACAGTTCTTATTTTTTTAGGGGTCGTAAATCAAAACTTTTTAGATTCTTTTTGTTAGGGCAAATCTTGGTTAAGTTGGAGATGGAACTAATTCTTTATTTAAAGATCAGTTCTTTTAGTTCGTTTTTGTTAGGGGTCGTAAGTCAAATTGTCATTAGTTTTTTTAAGTTGGATATGAAACGTATTCTTTTTTGAAGATCAGTTTTTTTTTGTTAGGGGTCGTAAGTCAAAAAATTTTTAGATTCTTTTTGTTAGGGCAAATCTTATTTAAGTTGGAGATGAAATAAATTCTTTATTTAAAGATAAGTTCTTTTAGTTTGTTTTTGTTAGGAGTCGTAATTCAAATTGTCATTAGGTTTTTTTTAAGTTGGATATGGAACTTATTCTTTTTTAAAGATCAGTTTTTTTTCTTAGGGGTCGTGAATCAAAATTTTTTTAGCTTCTTTTTGTCAGCGCAAATCTTGTTTAAGTTGGAGATGAAACTAATTCTTTATTTAAAGTTAAGTTCTTTTAGTTCGTTTTTGTTAGGGGTCGTAAGTTAAATTGTCATTAGTTTTTTTTTAAGTTGGATATGGAACTTATTCTTATTTAAAGATCACAATTTTTTTTTGTTGGGGGTCGTAAATCAAAACTTTTTTAGATTCTATTTGTTAGGGCAAATCTTGTTTAAGTTGGAAATGAAACTAATTCTTTATTTAAAGTTAAGTTCTTTTAGTTCGTTTTTGTTCGCAAGTCAAATTGTCAATAGTTTTTTTAAGTTGGATATGAAACGTATTCTTTTTTAAAGATCAGTTCTTTTTTTTTGTTAGGGGTCATAAGTCAAAACTTTTTTAGATTCTTTTTGTTAGGGCAAATCTTGTTTAAGTTGGAAATGAAACTAATTCTTTATTTAAAGTTAAGTTCTTTTTGTTCGTTTTTGTTAGGGGTCGTAAGTCAATTTTGTCATTAGTTTTTTAAGTTAAATATGGAACTTGTTCTTTTTTAAAGATCAGTTCTTTTTTTTTCTTAGGGGTCGTAAATCAACATTTTTTTAGATTCTTTTTGTCAGCGCAAATCTTGTTTAAGTTGAAGATGAATTCTTTATTTAAAGATAAGTTCTTTTAGTTTGTTTTTGTTAGGGGTCGTAAGTCAAATTGTCATTAGTTTTTTTAAGTTGGGTATGACACTTATTCTTTTTTTAAGATCAGTTATTTTTTTTTTGTCAGGGGTCTTAAGTCAAAACTTTTTTAGATTCTTTTTTTTAGGGCAAATCTTGTTTAAGTTGGATCTGGAACTAATTCTTTATTTAAAGTTAAGTTCTTTTTGTTCGTTTTTGTTAGGGGTCGTAAGTCAATTTTGTCATTAGTTTTTTAAGTTAAATATGGAACTTGTTCTTTTTTAAAGATCAGTTCTGTTTTTTTCTTAGGGGTCGTAAATCAACATTTTTTTAGATTCTTTTTGTCAGCGCAAATCTTGTTTAAGTTGAAGATGAATTCTTTATTTAAAGATAAGTTCTTTTAGTTTGTTTTTGTTAGGGGTCGTAAGTCAAATTGTCATTAGTTTTTTTAAGTTGGATATGGAATTTATTCTTTTTTAAAGATTAGTTCTTTTTTTTTTCTTGGGGGTCGTAATTCAAATTTTTTTTAGATTCTTTTTGACAGCGCAAATCTTGTTGGAGACGAAACTAATTCTTTATTTAAAGTTAAGTTCTTTTCGTTCGTTTTTCGTTTTCGTTGTTAGGGGTCGTAAGTCAAATTGTTATTAGATTCTTTAAGTTGGATATGGAACTTATTCTTTTTTTAAAGGTCAGTTCTTTTACTTCGTTTTTGTAGGGATCATAGGTCAAAATTTTGTTTAAATTCTTTTCGTCAGGTCAAATTTCAAGTTGGAGATGAAACCAATTCTTTATTTGTCCGCGTTTGGGTAGGTGAACATATTTTTTAAATACTTTTCGTCGTTTTAGTCTGTTTTAGATAGTGATAACCCTATGGAACCAGGCGCCCAGGAGTTTCCTATAAAACCCTCCTTTTTATTCCTTCCATTTAGACCCATTTTAGTTAATTTCACAATCTTCAGATTGTGGAATTAAATTAAAATGGTAGATGGATCTTGAAAGTACTTTCTGGATTTTGTCTCGGAACATCGGTAATCCGTGCCAACCCGTTTTTAACGTGGAGCATGTTGTTGTGCACCGGCGCTAATCTATTTGTAACTTAATTATCTGTCGTTTTCCTTTTCTACCCTTCCTATTACCCTAATTCCTTCGATTGGACCTGACGTGGACATCTTGGACTTCTTGGAACTTCAGGGTGCGAGTGAATCTTATATGCGAGTATGTATACAACCAGTAAATTTGTTTTTTGCGTGTTTTTGTTTATTTAAATACTTTATCTGTTTTAGGAAATTTTAGGTATATAATATGATGAGGAGGGTGGAGGGTAACTCCGCCAGGTATTTTTAACCTGCCGGTCCCAAGCCCGGATAAAGGAGGAGGGCCCTCACTCTTTTCTATTTTTTTTAGATTGTTTTAGTCGGGTCAAATCTTGTTTAGGTTGGAGATGGAACTTAGGTGGTTTTCGCCAGTCAAATCTCTTTTAGGTTCTTTTTGTCAGTTCTGTTTTTTTTAGGTTGTTTGGGAGACTGTAAGGACTGAAAACCATTAATGTTATTTTAAGCTTTACTTTCTACAGAAATTATCTCTATGGAAAGCAATAAACCAACCAGAGTGCGGCATTCTCAACAGCACACTAATACAGAAACGGAAACAGTAATGATGCGCTTGACTTGCTTTTATTGTTGCCACTGTACGTTTTATCTTAATAGTTTCTTTTTATATACGCAAATATTCATCTAACCATTGTTCCAAACAATTGTTTTAAAACAACAACACGTGTGTTCTAGACTCGATATCGCTTTTCTAAAATATATTATTAAATATAAAAATATAAAACAAACCCACAAAATACTAAATTTTCAAAAATGTAAATACAATGAAAGTAGCTACATTAGACTATGAAGTTGGCTACATTACCAGTACATGCGCATTTGCCTATTTTTATTAAAAACTTTTCTTAGGATAAGGATTCAAATTAAGTTAGGTTAAGACGAATTTAAATTGCATCAACGGTTCCGCTCATTATTACAGTTTTATCTCTTTAAGATAAGGACAAAGATTAATTTAGTATTAAGACATGCTTGCATCCACGGTAAGGTAGGCGAAATTTGCACGTTACATTCTATGTCCAGATTATTCTGGCTACGCCCATGTTTAAATTATTAGAATTATTTTCCTTTCAACGTTAAAATTCGCAAGTCTGTTGGGGAAATTTCTACTACTGATAATTTGTTTAATGAATCATAATAATGTCTGCAGAGTTCAAGATCAATAAATGCAATATATTTACTTTCAACTTCAAACTGTCTGTATAAACAAGTATACTTTTGTCTGCCTTAATGATATCCCAGACTTTCTTATTGCTTTGATTGTTAAATATTCAAAATTTGCAATAAATAAATTTACTCTTAAACCCACTGTATAACGCATGAACTGTGGGTCAATACACTCAAGAATATTTTTAAATAAAACACTTTTAACGTCTGTGCATGCTTTTGATAGCATAAATATAACAATAAAAAAAATTTACTGATAACGCTAACCTATGATCTCTAAATTTAACAAATGGTGTTATGTATCAATGTAATATTTTAAAATACTGAATACCTTTTGACATGAGGTGTTAAAAAATATTTTAAAAAATATTTTCCCTAAGATAAAGAAAAAATATGCATTAGAAGTTTTTTTATATTTTTTGTGATACGCCACTGGTTACACAAACAAAGTAGCTGCGCGTTGCCAGTTGTAAAAAATTGTAACTAAACATTTTTCTTACAAAAAATAAATAAAAACTCAATAAATACAAAAGTTGTATGCCCTTAAAGCTCTAATAAACTTCTGTATAAAAATGTCCAAACTTTATTTAAAGTAAATAATTTATTGTTTTTATCAAAACTACTTTATTTACATTTTTAAGTTGTTTACTTACCATTAAATTTTACTAAAGATGATATAAATGGTCCAACAAATAAAACTCCATTTTTTAACATATTGTACTTATAAAAATCTTTATTATTATAGTGATCTGAGCATTAATTAAAAAATAAAATATACAATCTTAATTCAGGGTTTTGCTTAAAACTAATTAATTTGAAATTAATCTCAGGGGGAAGACTTAACACGTTAAAACGCAGCTACAACGTTAAAAATAAATATTATTATATTAAGTGTAATAATGAATGTACGTATGTATAAGGTAAATAATATACAAAGTAAGCTATATTATACAAAATATAAACAAAAAAATTAGTTAAAAAGAACTGAGTTTGGGTCTTCATTGTCCATTTGTTTGATATGCCTCAGCACATCTTTTTTGGTTATTACGCCCAATAGTCGGCTGGAAAGAAAAACAATTATAATTTATTTTCCTACGCGTTTTAATTGTTTGTAATTTTAATGTACTTTAAGTTTAAATTATATGGATGAATCATTGGTAAAATTAAAAAATTAATGATAAATATAACGTGACTCGTCGTTTTGTGTATTTTACAAGGTTTTCACATATTTGTCATAAAAACGTAAACAATACAATATTTTTGTTTATTTTTAAATTATACAGGTTGGCATGATAGGGCAAGTAATACATCATTGCTTTAATGAGAAGCATAAAAAAGTATAGATTTCAAAAAACATTAAGCCTTAATTAGTCTTTTAAAGTAGACAGTTATCGGACACTTAATAGTTAATAGTTCAATATAGGACAAAAAAGTTCGCACGTTACTTTGTTGGAAAGATTTTTGTTTTTTTGTTAAGAGCAGGGCTGTGTTTAAATTACAACAAAAAATATTTTTAAAAAGTGTACAGATCAGTGTGTATTATAAATGTGTTTAAACATTGTCACTTTAATGCGTTTTAATTTTAATTCGGAAAACAAACAGTTAAATGGCCAGTGTCCAATTACTGGTTGGTAAAAAATTTAAATTTCTATTATTGGAACTATGTCCAATATCATACTCTATTTGTATCCCGGACATTTCTCAGCCAATTCTTATGTAAAATTGTCCCCTGAATCCGAAAAGACCGTCAAAAACTATAAAAGTTTAGCAGTTTTTGAGATATAGTCAATTCCATTTCATATGTAAAATTGATTATATTTCAAAAACTGTTTTACTTTTATAACTTTTGACGACATTTTCGGATTCATCGAATAATATTTCATAGGAATTGACTGCTAAATTTCCTGGATACAAATTGCTGTTGACGAGAATTATTAGTGGCTGCTTTTTCGCTATGACATTTTTGACTAATTCATTTTTAGAGATTAAGTAATATAGCAACTTCTTCGTCACAGGACATCAACAGTGATTTAAATACAGTGCATGATAGAACTAATGGCAAATAAATAAATAAATTCGGAAAATGCTTTTAACATACCACCCGAAAAAATATTAGATATATATAAATCATCCTGTTCCGGCCTAAACATTATGAATTATATGATATTTACAAAAACGAAATAAAAAATTACCTTAAACAGCAATTAATTTTTAAAAAATATTTAACAATTTATGTTATTTGATTTAAAGTTGTTATGTTTATATAAAAATTGTCCAATAACTATGGTCGATGTGTCCAATAACTATATGAAACGTCCAATTACTATACTTTTTTGCATGTTTTTATAAAACTATTATTAAAAATTCAAATATTTTTATTTTTAAGTAAACGTAAATAAAGTTTAAACAAACAAACTATCCTTTATATATATTTATAAGAAAAAAACTAAAAACTTTAAAACAATGGCATATATAAATTTTAAATAGATAATATTTCTTAAGTGTCCAATAACTATGTGGTTTACCCTACAGAAAATTAGTTCAGGATTGTTACAACTTCACAACATCTCAAAAGTTCTCATAAATCTTGGATTTTAAGAATTTGAAGGATTTTTTTTTAATAAATTATAGTAGCGAGTCAATCCATATGAAAACGACGAAACTCGTTGCTCGACCATCTTGGATTTTGATCAAATTTTATAGAAATATGCATTAGGGTCCCAAAGGACAAAATCCACCCTTATTTATTTTTTCGCATGTGTCTACTCCGGCCTAATCGAATTAAAACTTTTTAAAAACGTCATTTTTATGCTTTAATAATTTAAGCTGTAATTTTTTTCTATTAAAAATATTTTAAATTTTAAGATGTCATTTAAAGCTTAAAAATAGTAGTTTTTATAAAAAAAAATATAAATTCACTCAATAAATATTTCTAAATAATTACACTGTGTTGAAAAAACGTTTATTTTACTAATTTTTCGTGTTTTTTAAATGCGTCCCATGTCTCGGCTGTTTAATATTAACAGCTAATTTTTTTCATATATAAAGTTTACATACCAAAGACAAAATAAAACTTACAATTGGCCCGTTTGGCATACGGTTTCCAAACAAAAAAATTGCTTGAAATTTTAAAATTCTAGAAAATCTCATTATTTAGGCCATTATATAAAGATGTTGACTTCCAAATAGAATTATGAAATTTACAGGATAATTAGCCCCTACCTTAACGTTCAAATGTCTGGTAGTTTGGTTTTGGTATTTTGATCTTTGAAGGTTATACAATAGCTTTAAATGGAGAAAAATATTGAAATAATAAAAAGTCGCATTATTTCATCCATTATATAAGTATGTTGACTTTAATATAGAAATATGACATTAACAGGATTACCTTGAAAATGAAATGCCTGTTTGACTTGTTTTGATATTTTCATCCATTTTGCTTATAAAAAAGGCTAACACATGGAAAATTAAAAAACGATTCATTTTATCCTTAAATCATATAAATGTTAACTTCTAAATAGAAATAAAAAACTTATTTTGCTTTTTTTATTTTTTTGTGATTGTACAGATGCTTAAAGTACCTACATAAATATGCATAGGCATGCATAAGCCAAACATCATAGTAAGGACTAAATATCCTGTAAGTTTCAGGTTTCTATCTTGAAGTCAACACATTCTTAGAACAGAAAATTAAACAATAATCGTTTTTTAAATTTCAATATATTTGCTCCTTTTAAAGCCCATGTAAAAGCAAAATGGATGAAAATATCAAAACAAGTTAAATAAGCATTTAAACTTCAAGGTAAGGACTAAATATCCTAGTAATTTCATGTTTCTATATTGAAGTCAACGTACTTATAAAATGGATGAAATAATGCGACTTTTTAATATTTCAATATTTTTCTCCTTTTAAAGCTACTGTATAAGCTTCAAAGATGAAAATAACAAAACCAAACTACCAGGCATTTGAACATCAAGGTAGGGATTAATTATCCTGTAAATTTCATAATTCTATTTGGAAGTCAACATCCTCATATAACGGCCTAAATAATGCAATTTTCTAGAATTTCAAAATTTCAAGCAATTTTTTTGTTTGAAAACCGTATGCCAAACGGGCCAATTGTAAGTTTTATTTTGTCTTTGGTATGTAAACTTTGTATATGAAAAAAATTAGCTGTTAATATTAAACAGCCGAGACATGGGACGCATTTAAAAAACACGAAAAATTAGTAAAATACACGTTTTTTTAGCACCGTGTAATTATTTAGAAATATTGATTGAGTGAATTTATATTTTTTTTTATAAAAACTACTATATTTTAGCTTTAAAATGACATCTTAAAATTTAAAATATCTTTAATACAAAAAAATTACAGCTTAAATTATTAAAGCATTTAAAAAGTGTTAATTCGAATAGGCCGGATTTGACACATGCGAAAAATTAAATAAAGGTGGATTTTGTCCTTTGGGAGCCTAATGAATATTTCTATAAAATTTGAGCAAAATTGGAGAGATGGTCGAGCAACGAGTTTCGGCGTTTTCATATGGATTGACTCAGTAGCCATTATATTTATTATTATTTTTTTGAAACTCACCCGTTATGAGTGACCAACGTCTGCCGCAGCCCCAACTTTCTGAACATGTCGACCACGGTCTCCATCGGCGTTTGGTCCGTGATGGTGATGGGCGCCATGTCCAAGATTTTCTTCAGCTTCAGTGGCGGCGGTCCCAGGGTCTGGGGCGGGTTGCCGCTGGTGAAAATTACGAGCGATTGCCCGCAGATGCCGTCCACCATTCGTTTTGCGTTTGCTGAAGGAGATTATTTATTTTGAAGGAGAAATAATGCAGCAAGCTTTTCCAAATTATACATTTAAAGTGTGGAAAAAAAATAATAAAAAAAAAACCGTTGGAAAAATTGGAAAAAGAAAATTTAAAAATTATTTAAAACGGAAACCTGAAAATATATTAATATAACTTAAAAATTATATAAATATATTTTCGCAATTTTTATTCAAGTTAATTTAAATGAAGACAGTAACTAAATTGATCTATTCGGGGATTTACCGAAATGCGGGGAGATTTGCTAGTTGACGCGCCATATCATATTTGTATCTAGCTACAAATAACTAGATACTTTTTATGTATCAACGTTTGTAACTATGTAGTTATTTAATTTATCCCAATCTAGTACTAGTATTATACACTGCGCTTTAAAATTAACGCATAACAAGTAAAAAAAATCCAAGTCTAAATCGCCTTTACCAATCTATAAAATTTTGGATAAAAATACTTCAACTTATATCTGTGTTTTTCGAGAAATATCTTTAAAGCCTTTTCATTTAATAATAAAAAACGCTCGAAAAAAAAACTTTTTAAAGTAAATAAAAGCTATGCTGTGAAATACCGTATTTTTGCTAGTATACCCTGAAAATGTTGTAGAAATCAAACGAACAGTAACGAAAATACAGCGCTTCAAAGTCGTCAAAATAAAATAACCAAAAAGGGGTCATTTTTATAGACTTTGAAGCGCTGTATCTTCGTTACTGTTCGTTTGATTTGCACAAAATTTTTAGGGTATACTAACAAAAATACGGCCTTTATTTATATAAAAAAACATTCCCTAAAAGTTATTTTTGCATTAAAATTGTCAAAAATATTCTTCCTTTATTAGGTTATAAATTAAATTTAAGAAAAACGCAAGAAATATTTTATAAAATTATTTTATAAATTTTAATAATTGAAAGGTGTGGACTGGACAAAAAAAAAGATTTATCTTGTCCCGTCCACACCTGTCAATTATTAAAAGTATCTCTACTTTTATAAAATATTTCTTGTATTTTTTTAATTTAATGTACTTATAATAATAAAAGAAGAATATATTTGACAATTTTGATGCAAAAATAATATACAATTTGCCTGAAATGGCCGTAAACCAAAAAAGTTAATTTAAATCGTACAATTTTTTTTATTTAAGTTTAATTTAACATAATATGATAAACACCGTTTTTTGTGAAAAATTAAAAATAAATTTTACCGTCTTCGTGAGAAAGTTGGTTTTTCTACGGCTAGGCTTGCAAAAAGACTCACAAACGGCTAGGCAGTTTGGAAGAAAAAATATAATTTTTAGCAAAATATATTTTTTATTTTTAAATCGCAATAATAATCGTAATTACGTCGGCCTTGAAGTTTCAACTTTCAACTAATTTTTATTTGCAATAGTTGTAAATTGAGTTAAGTTGAGTAAATTGAGTCTAAATTGTGCTTTGATGATTGATTTTTAAATAGTAAAACCATGTTAGGTAATCAATAAATACAAGTTTCAAATAAAATTTTTTAAATGCATTTAGTTTTAAGAAAATTTTGTTTAGTGCTTTAATGTTATTATAGGATTGTTATTTTACGAAGTCTCGATACTTTTTATCAACCGTATCCCAAACAGCATTTTAAGTTTAAATAAATACAAATTTACTACTAAGTCAACTTTAAAGTATTTTTTACGGTTAACCAAAACGGTTTTATAACGGTATAGATATGATATGATTACCAAATTGGGGAATGGTTTATTTCGTTATTTTACCTTTTACCTATTTTACCTTTTTTATCTATCAAGAGAATAACGTAATAAAAACAATACAAATACCACAAATGTACGTAAAAATAAAGCTATAATTACTAACTGTTTGCTCTCTCTTTCTAAAACATTGACATTCGTAATTTCTTTCTTCTTTTAATTTATATTTTACAAAATGGTACTTACAAAGTAATAAAGGCCACCCTAGAGTAAATTTAAAAAATTTAACTTAAATTTTCAAACCCAATAATATTTTGCATTAAAACTCAAATGCACATTATTTAATTGATAAAAATAGGCACGATACATCTTAAAAATTATATGCCCTCTAAATATTTTACGGTTTTAAGAAAAATTATTGCTTGGGTAAAAAATCAACATAACTAAAAATTTACAAAATTTTATAAAATCTCCTAAAAAATCATTTTTTAATAACTAAAACTTTCCTTATTATATTTTAGGAAAATATTTATGAAAAAATATTATATAAATGTTTAGATAAGTAATGGATGCCATCTTAAAAAACTAAATTTTCCCTTAAAGTTTTATTTTTCACGTTAAGCTTATTTTTCCTTGTTTAGTCAATATTAATAGTATTTTTACCACTAATCACCCTAAAAAATACCAGGCGAATAGGAATTATTTACGGTTATAAAGTGGTCTTAATATCATAAAATTATGACTTATGAGAAACATTTTCCATTAAGTAAAAATTCTGACGTTAAAATTACCGTTAAATATTTCTTTAGGTTAAATACACTTATAAGTAAAAATTACGTCCCTCATAATACTTTAAAGTGTTGAAACTTAAGGGTTATTAAAATAGGTAAAAATAACATAAATAAAAATTAAAATTTTCACTTTAAGGTTAATGTAACAAAATATTTACTTAACATGCCGCTTGGGATTATTTAATGAGTTCATTCTTTAAATTGTTTGTTTAAAAAAAACATTTTTAAAAATATTAGATAAAATATATGTATGAAATTAGATATGACTTCATCGTTAGTAGTAAACTTTGAATATAAAAAATTTGGAAATTATTTTTTATATTATAAAGAAAATTTATTATTGTTGAAAAATTATTTTATATCACTGGCTGAAATTTACAGTTAATAACAAATTGCTGAACATGTGTTTTTATTATAGTTTTTATCAAAAGTTACATCTATCCATAACATTTATTAAACAGTTACTCAATCCCAAAAAACCTTGACTGAGTCCCCCAAAAATAAAATAATTCTTATCATATTTTTACAAATTATTTTTGACCTAATTTCTCAATATTAAATAGATAATTTCTTTATTTGCTTACCTATGGCTAAATTAACTTCTTTTCTTAATACAAATCCCACCAGGTATTGCGACTCTCTCGAAACCACCACGGGGTAACCATTATGTTCTGTGTCTTTTAGTAAAGCTTCAATGTCATCCACAGTCATGGAATCTTGCGTTATGACGCTTAAAGTTTCGTTTCTCCTAGAAGAAAAACATAAAACCTTGTTAAATTTTATATTTAGAACAATACAATTTTTTTTAAAGATCAGCGCTGGAAATTTTAAAAATACATACATAATACAGGGTGTAATGTAATTAATGTAATATATTAAAATACTGAATACCTTTTGACAATTTTTTTGAAAATTTTTCTTGCAAAAAATAAATAAAAACTCAATAAATAGAAGTTTTATGCCCTTAAAGCTCTAATACCCTTCTGTATTTATTTACTCATCTAGCTATTAGCATAAGAAATGATTAGAAAATTTAGTATGTACCTATTTTAAAAACTCATAACCACAAAATTAATCTTTTCATCGGTTTTTTTCTTTCTGTTTACTCAGATGAAATTAGGACAAGTTCACAAACCTTCAATTTGTGTAAATAAAACCAAAAGCACTTCCATTAGTTAAGATATTCACAATTTGAGCACATAACCTAAAATTTGAAAGAAATTAACTAGATTCTGTCATAAAAGTTGACAGATTTTGTTTGAATTTACCTTCATTACAAAAATGGCATAATCAACAATTAATAAAAACGCCAATTTGCATTGTTGATTTTGGAATTTTTGTAATTACCCTAAATTTAAACAAAATTTGGCAACTTTTTTGACAGAATCTGGAAACGCTGGTATAACATAATAAATTAAATTAGGCAACCAAATTAGACTAAAGTTCCTAGTCGATCAGTGTCGTACTTTTTGGTAGGATAAAGGTTATTATATTAATTATTTTTAGTCTTTAGAATTTAGAAAAAAAAGTTTCAGGTGCTTCTTTATGGACCCTTAGGAAGTACCCATTTTAATATATTACATTAATTATGGCGGGTTTACGAGTCACTCGCGTGCGTTTGAGGTTTGCGTGCGTTTCCTGGGCCTTCGCGTCAACGCGTTATTCCTGACGCGACCCCATTTACGAGTTTCAAAGGCGCGCGTTTGCTCACCTTCAAACGTCAGCTGGTTCCTCAGTGCTTGTGTTTTGATTTCGTCTGATATGTCTCATACTTTGGGGAAATGGACCCATTTTTAATTCGCCGAACCGCAATATTAATGAATTTAGCTCGTCTGCTAATTTTACGGCTGATGCCATTGGCTGGCCATGTCACGTGATATCGGCTTCAACGCGCGCGATCTTTTTACGGCGTAAAGTTTTTTCCCCGGATAAAAACCAAGACGCGTCAAACTGGCTGAGATTTGGCGCACGCGTCCTTTTAACGCACGCGAGGTCACTTATAAACGATCCCATTGCCCACCATGAGTTAAAACCATCGCGCGCGTTGGCTAGCTCGCGTAAACGCGACCTCCAAACGCACGCGAGTGACTCGTAAACCCGCCATTACATAACCCTGGTTTGTTGATCTTATATTATTATAATATTTGGATTCTAGTTTATAGAAATTTATATTATATTTTATTTAAATTGAAGCGTCAAAAACAATAAAAACAAAACTTTCTAGAAAAATTATAACTTTGATCGACATTTATAAAACCATGCCACATTTTAATAAGCATAATTTAATTTTACAGCCTTGAATTTTTACAATTTTGCAAATTTAGATGTTTTGACTTTTTTTAAGACGTTGTTTTGTATAAAATGTTGCTTATAAAAGTTTCAACATTAATTATATAACCGTGTTGTGATCAAAGTTTCATTGCAAACATTTTAAAGCACAAAATGCCGTTTTTGTATTAAATATTAAATTTATAACATAATACTTAAGTAGGTATTTCATGTAAATTTTTTACGATCACTTTTATAATTTTAATTTTGACGTAAAAATAAGTTTTGTGGTTTAAAATGCATTTTTGTGAGTGAGACAATTGGCCGGGGACTGTACGTAAAACAGATATTTATAAAAATTGTGTTAAAATGGACATACAAGTAATAAAATTTGGCATGTAACGTAAAAATCATGAAACCTGTAAAATTTAATAAATTATATATTATATTTTAACAATAAAACAACATTCCAAAATAATATTTAAATGCACATAGTATTTTTTATGATACAAAAAATAATCCAAAATGATTTTTGACAATCTAAATTGAATTTTTCTAGTTTTCGCTGGATTTACTAATATTTTTCATATTTCATAACATTTTTACGTTTCCCTTTATTTTTTACGAAAAAACCAAAGAAGTTGTACTGGGGTTCAGAAAAGTTAATTACACTTTGAAAAAGTTATTCACGATTTTTTTAAAATTTACACCAATTAGTTACAAAATACAGCAAGAACAAAAATTTTGAGTTTGAAATTTGGGTCTTTTAATGTTAAAAAAATCGAAAAACCGATTTGATAATAGGTTTTAAAATTTTTAATCTCGTTTTTCTGGGTTTTCATGACATTTGAGGAAATCGCGATATTTTTTTCAGAAAGCTGAGTTTTTACTACAAATTTTTTTTTATAAATTTTTTAAAGAAATTGATTTTTAAACGAAATAGGTACCAAAACTAAAAAACTCAAAATTTTCAACGTGCAAGTTACTCAATGATGGAAAAATTTAAAAAAATCTTAAAATACTTTTATCCGAAATCGGCAGTAAAGTAAAAGAAATCGGCAGTAAAGTAGAACTTTACTACTGATTTAATACGAGTATTGTATGCAACCCATTATACATTTTAAGATGTGTCTACTGCTCCTCAGCAGCAACTAAATAATATTGAAAAAGGTCGATTGAACCCTTTCATAAAATGTTGTTTAATAAAAATAATAAGTTAATTTTATTAATTAGATTAGAAAACCGCCGCGGCGGGCAAATATATAATAACCGTCGCAACAAACAGTATACGTAGACACTTCCTACATTCAAATGACATTTGATTTAATCATCAATATTAATTATTAGTATTATTAAATGTGATTTCGGATAAAATTTAATATGCACCTCGGCATTAAAGTCATTTTTTATCACTCACGTGATAAAAAATACGACTTTACTGCCTTGATACATAAATAACTATTTAGGCATGTACTTTTCAAAAATGTTAATTAACTTTTCTGACCCCCTAGTACAACTTCGGATATTCGGATGTTTGGTGAAATGATTAATTTTCAAAAATAAAAAATGAAGGAAAACCATTTTTGTTTTAATGAAAAATCAATATTTATTTCATAAAACATAACAGAAAAAAAATCATAGAGAGTTAATTTTCTGGCCACCCAGTACATCTCCGGATATTTATTAGACTGGGCCAAAAAAATTGACTATTTTTTTTTTGAAAAATATATCGAGAATGTCATTCAGAATGACAAAAAAAAATTTCGTGAAAAATTGAGCCCTTAATATTAATTTTAAAGAGGTCATAATATGATGTTTTACGTTAGAACTGTCAAAACATTAAAGTGAAAAAATTTATTTTTACTTATTTTTATATAAAAAGGTCTGATTGAAAATTTTTGTCAGACGAGCCGTTTCCGAGTAATTGAGCTTAATAAATCGATGTGTTTTTTCGATTTGCCCTTTTTACTTTGAAATTTTGTAACTAATGAATCAATGAATATTTAAAAAAGCTCTTCGGATTCTTAAAGGAAATTTAATGTTCTACAAAAAAGGTCTCTTAACATTTTTGCCTAAATTTAATCCTTCAAAAGTTATTCACGAAGAAAAAATTGAAATTTTAAGTTTTTCTTCGATTTTAATCGTGAATAACTTTTGAAGAATTAAATTTAGGCAAAAATGTTAAGAGACCTTTTTTGTAGAACATTAAATTTCCTTTAAGAATCCGAAAGTAAAAAGGGCAAATCGAAAAAACACATCGATTTATTAAGCTCAATTACTCGGAAACGGCTCGTCTGACGAGAATTTTCAATCAGACCTTTTTTGTAGAGAATTTAATTTTATATACAGTTCTAACGTAAAACATCAAATTATGACTAAAAATCAAAAATAGCGATGATAGACCTCTTAAAATTAATATTAAGGGCTCAAATTTTCACGAAATATTTTTTTTGTCATTCTGAATGACATTCTCGATATTTTTTTCAAAAAAAAAATAGTCAATTTTTTTGGCCCAGTCTAATATTTATATTTATACACAAAATCGTGTTAACTTACTTTGGCTGCATAACGTCGGCCGCAAGCGACGTGTGCTGGAACTCGTCTTTCGAGTCCAAAAAGGGGTAGCCGTTGAGGGCTATGTGGGCGTCGTAGATGCCCTGTCTGCCGAGGGCATCTCCCACCCACTTGCTGGCCATAGCGGCCGCCATGAGCGGCACTATGTACCGCACACCGCCGGTCAACTCGAACATGATGACGACCAGGGAGACGGTCATCCTGGTCACGCCCCCCAGCACCGCCGCTGCCCCCACCTGAAGAAAGGAAAAAGGTGGAAATCGTTCTGCTGTAGACAAAACATTTTCTGGACTGCGGCAACGTGGCAAATTTAGGGTTTTGGTTGGTAAATATAGTTGTCAAGTTGGTCGCATTGATTAAAACAAATTAATGTAATTGTAATATAATTGTGGTTATGTTTAAATTATTGTAGGTTACATTGAACGGTTGTCAAGTTGAGTCAAGTTGAGTTGTCAAAATTCGTAGTTAAAAATGCAATAAATTTGGCTTTGGTGGTGCGTAGATGAGTAAAATCATATAAAAAAGTAGTTAAATATAGGTGACTACGGCCCAGGAGAGACAAAGTATTCCTAGCGGATAATAATCTTCGCTTTGAAAAGAATTTATATAAAAGAAATTAAGATTGTATGTATACACTAGACTGGGCCAAAAAAATCGACTATTTTTTTTTGTAAAGTATATCGAAAAAATTGTTTGGGGTTTACAAAAAAAAATTATGGTGAAAGTTTGAGTCCATAATATTAATAGTAAGAGGTCTATCATCGCAATTTTAGATTTTTTTTCCTGAGCGAGTGTATGTCTCAGAACTCCCAAACCATTGACTTTAACAAAATTGACTTAAAAATATTTTTTGGAGAAAATTGCATGTTCTACAAAAAGGGTTTGATTGGAATTTCCCGTCAGATGAACCGTTTTCTTACAATCATGCCTTAAAAATTGGTATAGTTTTACAATTTTATCTTTTAACTTTGGAATTTAGTAATTCATGTAAAAATAAGTAGCCGGGAAAAAACCGATAGATATTCTTATGGGAAATCAAATGCTCTACAAAAAAAGTCTCCTAACATTTTTGGCTAAATTCACTCCATCAAAAGTTAAGGATAAATTTGAAGTCAAAACGAAATTCTTGTTCTTTCCGCTATAGATTTTTGTTTCGGGTCATTTAAAAACTTGAATTCTTTTATCGATGATAATCTTTATGTTATTGATAAAATTATTGAAAATAAAAAAAAATAACGCATTAGAGTTTTTTTACTTTAAGAAGCTATTTTCTTTAGAAAATATTATTTTCACTGTTACCTATTTAATCGTTTAAATAATAACAATCATGTTGTTTTTTTATTGGAAATTGTTAATTAGTTGTATAATACACATTTATAAAGAAAAAAAATCAAATTATCACCCATAAAAAAATAAATCTACAGAGAAAAAACAAGAATTTCATTTGACTTCAACTTTAACCTTGAATAACTTTTGATTGAGTGAATTTAGCCAAAAATGTTAAGAGGCTTTTTTTGTAAAGCATTTGATTTCCCATAAGAGTATTCATCGGTTTTTTCTGGGTACTGATTTTTACATGAATTACAAAATTCCAAAGTTAAAAGATCAAAATGTAAAACTATACCAATTTTTAAGGTATGATTTTAAGGAAACGGTTCATCTGACGGAAAATTTAATTTTAACCTTTTTTGTAGAGCATTTAATTTTCTTAAAAAAATATTTCTGAGTCAATTTTGTTAAACTCAATAGTTTGGGAGTTCTGAGACAAAACCTTTCTGAGAAAAAAAATTAAAATTTCGACGATAGACCTTTTAATATTAATATTATAAACTCAAACTTTTACAATATTTTTTTTATCACCCCAAACCATATTTTCAATATACTTTTCAAAAAAAATAGTTGATTTTTTTTGGCCCAGTCTAGTAAACACACGTGAATGTTGTCCAATCATTGGACTCCAATGGTAAATAATAATAATAATAATAATCGTCTTTTTTAGTAAAACATTACAATAATATAGATTATTAAATACTTTACATAAAGTGGCACACAATGGCGAAGTTTAGCCCAAGGCTACTCTTACACTTAACCAAGTGTGATATTATAATTGGTGTTTAATAAGACTAGAAAATAAAATAAATAAGAAATAGCAACAACAAAAGTATATACATATATACACATATGTATATATATATATAAAATAAAGTAATAAAAACAATATGAAAATTAAACAAGTTAGTTAAAAAATTAAAAAAAAAAAATATATATTCCTATACTATATATCTATATACTGTATAACATATAATTACTCTCTTAAACAACAAAATTGTTTACATAATAATATTATAAACTTAAATGGAAAAAGAAGCTCTTATACTTTTTTTAAATTTATTTAGAGACATAGATTTATAATTATTATCAATTGAGTTGTAGTAAGTTACTGAGTTAAAAGTGAAGGACCGGGTGAATAAAGCTGTTGAGTGCTTAGGTAAAGATAATAGGCGAGCATGTCGTGTGTGGCGATCGTGTATGTCATGACCAAAAACTAACTTTTGTCTTAAGTATAGAGGTGTAGAGGTAAGAAGAATTCTGTGCACAAATGTTAAATAGTGAAGCTTTACAACATCGCCTGGTTTGAGCCATCTAAGTTCAGCTCGTTTGATAGATACATGGTCATATTTTCTGAGGTTAAAAACAAATCTCACACAAGTATTTTGTATACGCTGAATACAGGTTTTAGTTTGCAGGTCAAGACACGGGTAGTACAAAATATTACAATAATAAAAAATTGGCAGAACAAGGCTTTCAGTTAATTTCTTTCTCATTTTAAAATTTAAAATATATCTGTTGTTATAAAGCAGTTTTAATCGTAAATATGTTTTTTTCAGAAGGTTTTTAACATGACCAGTAAACCGAAGATTTTCATCCACCAGGACACCCAGATTTTTAGCCTCTTCTAAGAAATTTATACTTTCATTATTTATAAAAAGTTTGATATTTGATTTTAATTTTACGCGGAGATTTTTAGAGCAAAAAATCATAGCTACAGATTTTTTTGGATTTATATTCAGATTATGGTTTTTGGAAAAAATATTTATTGAATTTAAGTCTTCGTTTATTTTGAGGTTAGTTTCAAATATATTAGCAGGGTCAAAACAGTATAAGATCTGTGTGTCATCCGCATAAGCTTGCATATGCACATATTTAGTTTGATCAAATAAATTTGCAGTGTATAGTATAAAGAGCAAGGGACCGAGAATTGAGCCCTGCGGTACTCCGGATGGTACAAGGCAGGAAATGGGTATATTGTTAAAGCCACGTTAATACTTGTAGTGGGTTAATAATAATTATAATGTATATATTGTCCAGGACTATTAAAGATCAGTAACTTGCAAATTGAAAGTTTTTGCAAATTGAAAGTTTCGTGATTATTGCTTATCTATCTTTTTTAAATGGATAATATTTTCAAAGAAAAAAAAATGAACTGTACCCACTAGAATTTATTTTAGCGAAAGATATCTGTCATCAGTATGTTATAATAAACAGGAAAAGGTTTAGTTCAACATCTGAGGATGATATAAACGCTAAAATAAGAAAAAATACATAAAAAATACTCAAACCAGCAATTAATCAATTTGGAAACAATTTCAAACGTTTTGTAGTGAAAAAGGATATGCCCTTGAAGAAACTACACCAATTACAAAACTGGCATGCATTTTGGAAGATTGGAGATATAACATGATATGGTGTGATGGAAGTTCCATCATGGAACAGATTATAATGAATTGGTTATAAAAATTAAAACCAATGTCATTTTGTAATAGAGTTTACGTCAAAAAATAATCTCGAGAGATCAGTATATTAAAAATTAATTAACTCGTTTTCGAAATATCTGTCAAAATATTTTAAACTTATTTTCACTCTCTTGTGATATTACTGTTGAAGATAATTGAACCAAAAACAAAATAACGAAAATTTTGAATTATAGCAAAATAATAAGCCAGGAAAAATAATACATATATTTTTACAAAGCAATTAAACGAAGACTCACTTACCATGGCATAAAGACCCGGAGTGATGCAGTCGTCGCTCGTGGAGCATTCCCCGCTGAAGAACCACATTTTGGGGTAGTTGTAGGCTAACTGCTCCATGCCGATGCCTACGATGCGGCCGGTGATGGCGCCCAGGCACAGGCTGGGTATGAAAAGGCCGCAGGGCACTTTCATGCCGAAGGTGAAGATGGTCATCACCAGTTTCACGACGAGCGCCAGCATTAGCTGCCAGATGGCCTCGTACACTCCGGGACCCGCCGGCGCTATGTCTATAGCGGATTTTACGTCGGTAAAGTTACGGTTGTAATCGCTGAAACAAGAATAGTTGCACATGGTGGACAATAGAGATGCAACTTGAAGAAAAACGGTCCGTTTTTTGTTGTTTTTTTTTCAAGTTTGTTTTCATTGTTTTTTTCCAAATGGTTTTTTCATATTTTAGGTTTTTATGACATTTATTAAATGTAAATACAGTGTCCACCACCGAATTGACCAATAAGGACCGCGCTTGTTTTGATTTGGTGCTAAAAAAAGTAACTACCTATAATATTTTTGATTCAGCGTTTGATTTTTCAAAAAGCTACCAAAAGCTATTTTTTCATGATTTTTCAAATTCATGTAGAGTGTGGAAATTTTTTTTTTAAAAGAATTGCAAATTCTTGTAGAACATTTATTCATTGGTGGTCAGAACATTCCGTGGACCAAAAAAGAAAGCCATTATTGCGGTATTCGTTATTATTAAGCGTTGCACGTGTTTCATCTAAAAATCTCAAAACTAGAAACTTCAAGCTTCAAATTGCTTTTTTTACGGCTCCAATACGACCATTTTTAACGAAGATACAGGCTATCCGAAAAATCGCAAAAAATTGGAATTTTCTTTATCCTTTAATTTTTTCTATTAGTGTAGAAGTTTTACATGGCTATTGGTTTCTTATGTGGAAACTACCAAATAATAAGAAATCAGATTTTTTAGTCTCGGTCAAAATTTTCAATAATGAAAAATGTAATATATTCTACATTTCACTTTATTATTAATATTCATTTTACTCAAAATTTCATTTTGAAAAATTACTCAATTTTTTAAGATTGATGTTATTTATTGACAATATGCTTTATTGTAGCGGATTTGAAAAAAAAACAAAAAAAACCGTTTTTTTTCATGTTTTTTTCACATCTGAAATAAAACCGTTTTTTACATCTCTAGTGGCCAATAACTTTTCTGGGGTAATTTGGGTGCGTTGATGTCACAAGTTGACCTTCATTTTGCTCAATCAGCTCTTGTTTTGCGATATTGTAAAAATACTTATTCTTATTACAAATAAAATAAAACATTTTTTTAATGAAACTTGTGATTGTTTTTATACACTTAAATATTAGTTTCATCTTTTATATTGCAGATGCAACAAGACAACAATTGCAAGGCTAAACTACAAATTTTATTTGGAAATTTAGGTTTTTTTTGAGAATTTTAGGAGAAATAAAGTATGCAAATGAATAATGAATGAATGACAACTCTAAACTGTACTTAAAAAATAAGAAAAAAATAAATAATACTTTTTAACAAAAATATAAATAAATATCACTTCTTTTGTACAAATAAGTTACATTGACGAGTTTTTTTTTGAATAAAATTACAATTGAGGTAAAATTACTACTTTTGTATATATCTAATAATACTTTTATATAAAAAACGCGTCGATAGATTTGGATAAAAACTAGGCCAATATCAAATAATGTTATATTTATATTTTAAGAAAAAAAATGTTAACAGTTTAGTTAATAACTAACAATAATAATACAGCAAAACATTCTTTAGATTGTTTACTATTTTAGCTATCATTAAAAAGAAAATAAAAAATTCTTTTGTTTAATATACAAGGTGTCCCTAAACTTAGTGGCATAAATTTAGGAGAAGATTAAGCAAGTCAAAATAAGACGAAAATCTAAATAAATATTTTTTCTAATTACGTATGTTTAAAAGATACAGGGTGATAAAGTGTTACTTATCATATATATATCAGTTTGTTTAATATAACTTCTACTGTGGTAGACTTGGAAAGGTGATATTTTGCGAACAGTCACTTACTACCAAAATACATATTCACAAATAATTACAATTGTTTGAGTGAACACAGTGTCGTAGAAACAGGGGTTGCTTAAGCTCATGTGTTTTGGTAGTAAGTGACTGTTCGCAAAATATCACCTTTCCAAGACTACCATAGTAGAGGTTATATTAAAAAAATTGATGAAAAGTAACACTTAATCACCCTGTATCTTGGAAACCTAAGTAATTAGGAAAAATATTTATTTGGGTTTTCGTCTTATTTACAAGTCTAAAACCTATCCTCCGTGAACGTTACTCTTTCTAGGTTAACCTATATGTTTTCAAATATCTGAGGTAGTAAAAGCATACTAAAAATATCAGTTCACTAAGTAAATTAAACACATCCAAAGCAATCGAAGCAAATATAAAATAATATTAAAAATTAAAAGAAATAATTTTTATAACCATTTATGTAGGTGTTACAAAAATTGATTCTATCCTCCGTGAATCTGTTTTTGCTTTAAATTTTATGCAACGGATGGCGCTTTAATCATTTTAAATAAGCAAAAACTCTGTTTACGACATTATAGTTGCATGTGATTCTTGTAGGTCAGTTAGAATTTATATGCAGATGAGAGTGTTGCTGTTTTATAATTCAAAAGTTTAAGTTCATTAATTTGTTATTTAAAAACCTATCCACCGTGAAGTGTAATATCTCAGTAAGTAACAATAACTTATTTTAAATATACAAAGGGATGTTTTAAAAAAACATACGAAATCCTAACCTCCGTGAAGCTCTAATATTCAAAATGTATGATTTCTTAAAATTCTTGCATTAGTGCAGAACCACTTATGTTATGTTATTACTAGACCTGGTGGCTTCCCAAAAACCCCATTCTAGACTAACAGTGAAACAACCAAAGCATTTTGTTTTTGTCTTGACCGTTTTTTTTTTAATTTTAGTGTATATTTTTTACTTACCATAGATTATCAGAGTTTGAGATACTGCACTGACTGAACAGCAAATAAATTAGTTGACTAGTGTTCATTCTTGTGTAAGGATTTGGGTAAGCAATAACTGCTGTAAGAGCAGTTACTACAAGTACTTCAGTGACTGGGTATTGCCCCAATTTCGAGAATTTTCTGTATCTACACCAGTACAGATTGGCTTTAATAAATATTGTGGCAATGACACCCTAAAAAAATTATTATTAAATAAAATAAACTCTTATTCACAATCCAAACAACAAGGTCTGTTCTGTCTCATGCTAAAAATACTAAAAATCACTGCAACACTGCACAGAGTTTAACGGCGGCCATTTTTGTTGTTTACAATTCTTGTGCTTTGGGTTTGTGCTGTTTAATAATTGTTTTAAACGTTGTGTTTCTTACAGAGGCACTTAATAATAATAATAATAATAATACCTTTATTTCTGAGGACACATAGATACATGTATAGAAAACGTCAAAAACATAATTATAGTAAGTATACAAAATATGACAAAATAAATTAATACAATGAGCACACAATAAAGAATACAATCTAATTATTAAAAACACATTAAAAGCTTGAACAAGTTAGACAGCAAAATATTCACTTAATGTATAAAAACACTTATCCAATAAAAATTTCTTTAGCTGTTTTTTAAAACTAAAGAGCAAATTAACATTTTTGATGTCTATTGGTAATTTGTTAAAAATATTAAGACCAATATGATTGGGGGAATTTTTTCCTTTCTTAAGCCTAGAAAAAGGGACCCTAAAACAGAGCTGCAACAAGTCAGTTTTAAAAAGACTTAAATCTTAAGTCTTAAGTCAATTCTAAAATTAAAATGATTTAAATCTTAAGTCAATTCTAAGATAAAGTTCAAATGATTTAAGTATTAAGTCTTTGAATTAAATCATTTTCTTTCAAGTCAAGTCATTTTCGCAAATTCTTAAATCAATATAAAGTGATTTAAGTCATCTTATGACTTAATTCCTTTAGTAAGTCGTTTTTATGACTTAAGTCTATATTTTTTATTTAAATCGTGATCTAAGAGTTAAGTCAATAAAATGACTTGAATCAAAAATTGTGATTTAAATCAAAATAATTACCTTTAAGTCAATACAACGATTTTTTAAATGTTAATAATAACTTTATGGTATTAATGATACTGATATTAATAATCTATTGTAGATACAGATGATTAATGATGAATAAACCACTATGTTAAGAATTTAAAACGATTTATTTTCAGAACACTTAAGAACAAAATAAAAACTTAAAACACATTTTTTGAGTAGACAATCAAAATAAAAACTTAAACCACCTTTTTTAGTAGAGTACATACAGGGAGGCTACTTTTTTATATACACTATTGGACAAAAGTAAAGCAACAACTGTATAAAAAATCTAACCCCAAAACGCCTTTATTAATCTTTAAGAAATTTTGGATAAAAATACTTGAAGTTAAATCTCAGTTTACGTGTTTGAGGGTTTTTTAAAAAATATTTTTAAAGCCCATTTTTTTAATATTAAAAAAACCTTCGAAAAATAATTTTTACGGAAATTTTTTTTCAAGTAAATAAAAAATATACTGTTAAATACCGTATTTTTGTTAGTATACCCTGAAAATGTTGTACAAATCAAATGAACAGTAACGAAGATACAGCGATTCAAAGTCGTCAAAAATGACCACTTTTCAGCAAAATAATCAAAAAGGGTCATTTTTACCGACTTTGAAGCGCTGTATCTTCGTTACTGTTCATTTGATTTGCACAAAATTTTTAGAGTATACTAACAAAAATACGGTCATTAACAGAATATTTTTTATTTACTTGAAAAAAAATTTCCGTAAAAGTTATTTTTCGAACGTTTTTTTAATATTAAAAAAATGGGCTTTAAAAATATTTTCTCAAAAAACCCTTAAACACGTAAACTGAGATTTAAGTTCAAGTATTTTTATCCAAAATTTCTTAAAGAATAATAAAGGCGTTTTGGAGTTGGATTTTTTATACAGTTGTTGCTTTACTTTTGTCCAATAGTGTACATAAATGGGTAACTTCTAAACGGTAATAGATTCAAACTCTGTTAAAATAGATAAAAGTTACAAATTAGACCTAACGCACGCATAACACGACGAATGTTGGCAAACAAAATAACAAAATTATAAATCCGCATTTTTTAAAATTTATTTTAGACAAGACATTTTTTAATGAAGCCGTCAAACGGTTCCGAAAAGCTAACTTTACCGCGGCGGTTTTTTTATTCACTAGCGGTAGCAATTGTAGGTAGGAAATTAAAGGAGTTTTTGATCTGCTGCCGCGTGAACCCCTGGCAGTTCAAAAGAAAATGCCGCTGTTAAAAATTTATAAAAAAATATATGAAAAATCTGACTTAAATATTTTCTAAAAAGACTTAAATCTTTTTCAAAAAGACTTACAATCTTTTTAAATTACTTAAATAATTTACCGACTTTTATAAAGACTTAAATCTTTTTTTGACTTAAATCGTTTCTATATGACTTAAATCGTATGTACTGATTTAAGCCTTTTATTAATGACTTAAGTTTTTTCTATTTTGAAAAAAATATTTAAGTCACAAATCATTTTGAAAATTACTTAAATTTTAAGTCTTAAGTCAGTTTTAGAGAAATTACTTATTACCAAATGACTTAAGTCATTAAAACGATTTAAATCAAAAAAACGATTTAAGTTTTCTGAGAGCTTGCAGCTCTGCCCTAAAATCACATTTTTGCCTTGTGTTTATTGGATGTACATCCTGATTTTTTATAAAAGTATTCTTATTAACAAATACATACACACACATTTCATAAATAAATAAACAAGGTAAAGTTAAAATTTTGTAATCTTTAAACAAGTCACGACAGGAATAATCACAAGGAACTCCAGCTATACACCGAATCACTCTCTTCTGACAAACAAAAACATTAGAATGTAAGGTTGAGTTACCCCAAAAACAAATAGCATATCTTAGTTGAGACTCAAATTGTGCATGATAAAACATTAAAATCTGATTCAGGTTTAGCAATTTCTTTAAATTTCTAAAAAGGTAAATTAAAGAGTTAAGTTTGGAGATGAGACTCTCACAGTGTGGTTTCCAATTAAGTTCTTCATCAATAATTACCCCAAGAAACTTCGTGCTTTTCTTTTTATAAATGAATGTTCCATCAATTGAAATATTTAAATTTAGGTCACGAACATTTTGATGGTTATGGTTATAGAAACGAATAAAATTGGTTTTATCCTTATTTAAACAGAGATTATTAATATTAAACCATGACAACAAGTTATCAAGATTGCCATTGCATTTTTCTTCCAAAATTTGGGTATCATTGTGAGTAATTATTAGAGAGGTGTCATCCGCATATAAAGTTGCCACCGTGTCAGGTAGTAAACAAGAGTCCAAGTCATTAACGTATAGGTTAAAAAGCACAGGACCCAATACTGAACCCTGAGGTACACCCATGTCAACAACCTGTATCTCAGAGTTTACACATGTGACCATATTGTTGTTATCTATATGTCGTATAGCCTCAAATAAGGCCTTAAGTGTTAAGGACAACCATTTTACTTCTCTTTTATAATAAAAATACCTTATTCTATCAGGGCTGTCAAATGACAATTTGAAGGTTAATTTGTGGGTTATAATTTAACTTTAAAATTGACATTTGACAGTTTTATGACAGCCCTGATAGAATAAAGTTTATTTTTTACAATAGAGGAGTAAAATGGTTGTTCTTAGCACTTTAAGGGCTCTTTTAAGGCTTACTATGAGAAACACAACGTTTAAAACGATTATTAATCTGTATAAACCGAGCACAAACCCAAAGCACAAAAATTGTAAACAACAAAAATGGCCGCCGTTAAACTGTGCAGTGTTGCAGTGATTTTTTGTATTTTTAGTGCGAGATAGAACAGACCTTGTTGTGTGGATTGTGCTCTTATTTGGTAAATTCTCATATAACTTGTTTCGATGCTGTGGTCTGTGGATGCTGTATCCACTTATTTTTGTGAAAACTAATTCTCGCTCAAGGTTTTTTTTTAGTGTAATGAGCATGTAGCATTTTAAGGTAATGGGAACTTAAATTATGACAACCCTAATCTATTAATTTTTTCCTAAAATGCAGGCTTTATGTTGCAAATGTCACGTAAGTTACCGGTCATCAACTGCAATATCCTAACATTGATGAATATTTTAACAAAATGGCTGTTGAAACAACTAATGTTAGTGCTTGATTAACTAAAAATAGACTTAAGATTGACGAAAAATTATTTTATCCGAAATCGGCAGTAAAGTAGAACTTTACTGCCGATTTATTTTAATTTACGATTGTTGACTACTTTACTGCCGATTTCGGATAAAATAATTTTTTGTCAATCTTAAGTCTATTTTTAGTTAATCAAGCACTAACATTAGTTGTTTGAACGGCCATTTTGTTGAAATATTCATCGATGTTAGGATATTGCAGTTGGTGACCGGTAACTTACGTGACATTTGCAACATAAAGCCTGCATTTTAGGAAAAAATTAATAGATTAGGGTAAACATTCAATTTTCTTAGTTTCTTTAAGAAACTTTCTTGACCCATCACTGGTAATATTCATAAGAAAAAATTGAACCTACACCTCGCCAAAGATTTTTGTTTTGAATGCGTTCCACCAACTTCAAATACCGACAGACAGCTGTTTCGACCTTTATTGGGTCTCATCAGTGTCGGGCAACTTGGTGTAGTGGAACACAATCAAAACAAATTACTCCCTCAGCTTATATGCTCGGTTGTTAAGTCAACAGATTAGGGTTGTCATAATTTAAGTTCCCATTACCTTGAAATGCTACATGCTTATTACACTAAAAAAAACCTTGAGCGAGAATTAGTTTTCACAAAAATAAGTGGATACAGCATCGGAACAAGTTATATGAGAATTGATCATTTAGTAAACTAAGCATATTTTCTTTACTTACCCCTATAATTCCTAGACCGATAAACGGTATAAGCTCGAAAAATATCCACGGTTTGTTATACTCCACGTAAAACAATACAGAGTGTTCGTTTCCGAAGGGGTTTATTGAGCGTAGGATGAAAGCGGCTATAAGGGCGCAAAAAAACGATCTCCACAGCGTTTTCAAGGGGAAATAATAGCTGACCTCCTCCAAACTGAAAAGAACGCCACCTATAGGCGCTCCGAAGGCTACGGAAACACCCGCAGCTGCCGAAGCTGACAGGATTTCGCGTTTTTTAGCTTCGTTTCTGCCGTATTTTGGGAACAGGTACGATAGTATGTTGCCTAAAATTTCAATTAGTAACTCTCTAAAAATGAAATAGTCAAAATTCTACTATTTGAATTAGTACCAGCATTTTTTACTAATAAAATAGTCGTTTTCACTTTTAAAGAGTTATTTTTTACTACGTAAATAGTTAAAGTTTGACTAATTTAAGATTAGTCACCATATTTGACTATTTCTGACAGTTAAAAGTAACTAATTTCTTTAATCGTTTACGGCCAACAACAAAGTATTATTTGAATTAAATGCATATACCTCTCCATGGTTAAATGACCCATAAAACAAATAAAGATGCAAAAAGTTTAGCTCAAAACAGCAACACAAATAATATATTCAACTTTAAAATATTATGAACAATATTTATTGACAAATAAAATTGATTTTTATAAGAGCGGCTGACAGCCGAATGCGTTATGAGGTTAGCTTGACAAACTTGTCAAGTGACAGACCTAAGTTCAATCCCAGGCTGGGTCAAAACTTTTTTTAAATTTAAATTTACTAATTTGACTATTTCATTCAGTGGAATTTGACTAATTATTAGTGACTGCTTTTTCGCTATGACAATTAGTCAAATATGACTTATAATTAGTTATTTTTGACTAATTCATTTTAAGAGAGAACATTCGGGTGCGTTTTGGAGTTTTGTTTACCGATAGCGCAGGCAATATGTACCATGGGACCTTCCTTTCCAAGACTAAGGCCTGCCGATACGGACAGTATCAAACCAACACTTTTGATTATCAACGTCCATTTGCCCAGATAGCCTCTTATGATAAATCCGCTGAGAATTGTTTTTATCTAGAACGAATCTTATATAAATACGTAATTGTGGTTAAGTTAATGAATGTTTACCTCGGGAATACCAGACCCGCAAGCATATGGAGCAAACATTCTCACCAAACTTGCAGAAAGGGCAGCAAAAAGGAGAGCCCATACCACGTAGAATAGGTAGGAAATTATGTACCCTCCTGCTCCCGTTTTGGATGTACCCAAGACTTGGGCCCATGTTAACCACTAAAATTTTTTTTTTAGTAAAATTGTATACTTAAAGTACTGTTTTTATAATAAATTTATTTAATAACAAAAAAACGTTCGAAAAATAACTTTTAGGGAATTTTTTTTAAGTAGCGCTGTATTTTCGTTACTGTTCGTTTGATTTGTACATTTTCAGGGTATACTAACAAAAATACGGTCTTTTACAGCATATTTTTCATTTACTTCAAAAAAAATTTTCCTATAAAAGTGCGATTTTAATTATTAAATAAAAGGACTTTAAGGCTTTAAAGATATTTTGTCAATACCAAGAATCATTGGTAATATCCTAATTAAACTAAAAATCCTGTTTGTAACAAAATAAAATAGTATTTTTAGCCAAAATTGGACAATTTTCAAAATTAAAAGTATAGTAACATAAACAACTTGTGTGTACTTTATTGTGTTAAAATTTAAACGTAATAAAATAAAGATGAAATTAAAAAATCGGCGCTTGTCAAAATTTTTCCGGTCATTTTTGCTCCTTTTATTACAGTAAAGCAGATAGTTGAATCTACAAAATTTTGTAAATTTCATTCAAATCGGACAAAAATTCTTCGTCTTGAAAGCAATATTTATTAATTCAAAATACCAATATCTTCTCTAAATTGAAAGGATTTTTAAGTTGGACCTTAAAGTTAATAGATTTCACAAAATTGATTTTATTATTAGAACAATGTTAAAAAATAATATATACAGGGTGTTTTGTAATTAAAGTATTATATTAAAATGGGTAGTTCTTCTATATAGAATATATAGGATATCCTACCAAAAAGTACGACACTGATAGACTAGGAACTTTAGGCTAATCTGGTTGCCTAATTTAATTTATTATGTTATGGTTGGTAACAACCAGATTTTGTTTAAATTTAGCTTAATTACAAAAATGACAAAATCAAACATGCAAATTGTTAATTTGGGGATTTTATTAATTGTTCATTATGTCATTTTTGTAATGAAGGTAAATTCAAACAAAATCTGGAAACTTTTATGTCAGAATCTAGTGCATTTCTTTCAAATTTTAGGTTATGTTCTCAAATTGTGCTTTTGAATTTATTTACATAAATTTAAAGTTTAACCTGTAAACTGTACTCATTTTATCTGAGTAAGCAGAAAGAATAAACCGATGAAAAAATTAACTTTGTGGTTACCCAACCATCAAAGTAGCTGTGCGTTGCCAGTTGTAAAAAATTGTTACTAAAAATTTTTCTTGCAAAAAATAAATAAAAACTCATTAAATACAAAAGTTTTATGCCCTTAAAGCTCTAATACCCTTCTGTATTTATTTACTCATCCAGCTATTAGCTTAAGCAATGATTAGAAAATTTAGTACCTATTTTAAAAACTCCATAACCACAAAATTAATTTTTTCATTGGTTGATGAAATTAGGACAAGTTCACAGGTTAACTTTAAGCAATCAATTTGTGTAAATAAATCCAAAAGCACTTCCCTTAGTTAAGATATTTACAATTTGAGCACATAACCTAAAATTTGAAAGATATGCACCAGATTCTGTCATAAAAGTTGACAGATTTTGTTTAAATTTACCTTTATTGCAAAAATGACATAATCAACAATTAATAAAAAGCCACATTACCAATTTGCATTGTTGATTTTGTCATTTTTGTAATTAAGCTGAATTTAAACAAAATCTGGCAACTTTTTTTGACAGAATCTGGAAACGCTGGTTGTTACCAACCATAACATAATAAATTAAATTAGGCAACCAGATTAGCCTAAAGTTCCTAGTCGATCAGTGGCATACTTTTTGGTGGGATAAAGGTTATTATAAATAATTTTTAGTCTTTAGAATTTGGAAAAAAAAGTTTCAGGTGCTTGTTTATGGACCCTAAGGAACTACCCCTTTTAATATATTACATTAATTACATAACACCCTTTGTTAAATTGCACATAACTTGGGGATTTGTGTCACTAACCAGACCCATTTTGGTAAAAAACGATTCAAAACAATAGCCATGGTCTAAGGTTTGCCTATTTCTTTAAAGTCTCGTTGATGAAATGAAAGAAAGGGTTTGAAGAGTAGAAAACGATAAGATGGGTGAAATTTTCAAGATTTCCAACAAATTTCATATTTTCCAGTGTTTTTTTTTTAAATATATTTTACCATTTTACTAAGTTCTTTGAGTAAAATCACCTCAAGTTCAAATTAATATACTTTAATACAAAGTACTCACTATCAAAAATTAATCCCCAAAACAGTTTTTCAAAATTTTCATTTCAACAACATTTTTGAATGATTATTACCCTCATTATAATATGAACCAATCAAAAGCCTTGAATTTTCGAATAAATTTTGTTTAAATAAGCGATTAAATCACTAGAACTATTTAACAGCGATTAAATTTTAGCCTCCATATTGGATTTTTGTTTACGATTTTATGGTGTTTTAACAAACATTTTTTAAAAAACAATAATAAATAAGTTATCTAGTTTACGAAATATCAATTATTACTTATTACATAGGGTAAAGTGGGGTGAGATGGCCAGCCGGGAGAGATGACCAAGAGGTAAAACTCAATAACTTGTCGATCGATGGCGCTGCGTGTCCTACCCGGCGACAAACGTTTATGTGTAAGCACGGCCGGTGTGATTTCGACCACGTCAAAGTGACATTAAAGCACTCAGAAAATAAAAATACTATCGAGTCCTTGTGAAATTATATGATAGTTTCTTACTACCTACTACTGTGAATGTGTAGAATTAAATTTAACCTCTAAAAACTATTAAAAGGATGCAGTGGATTTTGTTTGTCACGCTGGCCATCTCTTCCTAGCATTCGGAAGAGATGGCCACCAAATTGTTGGGATAGATGGCCATTTAATTTTTGCTTCTATTTCTTTACAGTTTAGCGTCCTTTGGGCTTTAATGCAAAAAAATGCCAACAAAATATATCAGAAAGAATTAAAATCGTGGAAACTATTCTCAAGAAAATTTAAGGCTAGCAATTGAAGCTGTCAGAAACGGTTCTTCTGTAAACGGAACCTCAAAAACGTATGGCATCCCTAGGAAGACCCTTGAAAGAAAAGTGAAGAATAATGTTTCCACGACTGGTAAAATGGGACCTGACAGCATGTTGGGGTTTCCCTTATTGCATTGGCCAACTAACCCCACTGAACTGGGATAGATGGCCACGTACGACATATTTTTATAAATAATAAAACAAAAATTTGGACAAGTATTTTGACCCTATTTATTTACATACCTGTTGAGATGATAGTTAAGCTGTTGTAAAAAAAATATTTCATAATCCTAACCATTATAAAAAACTTACAGGCACATATTTTGCAAAACGGTGGCCATCTCACCCCCCTTTACCTTACCTTAAATTAATGGAATTTTCTTTAAAAAAATATTTATAAATTTTGACACATACTTCAGATTTTATGAATTGTCAAATAGTTTCCTTTAATTCGAGAAATAATCTAGACGTATATCACTCAACCTATAAATTTAATCTGTCAAACTATGCTCAGTAGGTTTTTTACTTGATTTTTCTTTTTGGAAAATAGTTTCATGCAAAATAATTAAAAATAAAACCCCTCGACCGCTACGCGGTCTCGTGATTTTATTAAATTATTTTGCATTCAACATTTTTCAACAAAAACCAAACAAAAAACTACTGAGCCTAGTTTAACCGATTAAATTCATAGTTCTCGTGATATAATATATGATTATTTCCCTCATTATAATATGAACCAATCAAAAGCCTTGAATTTTCGAATAAATTTCGTTTAAATAAGCGATTAAATCACTAGAACTATTTAACAGCGATTAAATTTTAGCCTCCATATTGGATTTTTGTTTACGATTTTATGGTGTTATTTACAAGTATTAACAAACATTTTTTAAAAAGCAATAAAAAATAAGTTATCTAGTTTACGAAATATCAATTATTACTTATTACATACCTTAAATTAATGGAATTTTCTTTAAAAAAATATTTATAAATTTTGACACATACGTCAGATTTTATGAATTGTAATATAGTTTTCTTTAATTCGAGAAATAATCTAGACGTATATCACTCAACCTATAAATTTAATCTGTCATACTATGCTCGGTAAGTTTTTTATTTGATTTTTCTTTTTGGAAAATAGTTTCATGCAAAATAATTAACAATAAAACCCCTCGACCGCTACGCGGTCTCGTGATTTTATTAAATTATTTTGCATTCAACATTTTCCAACAAAAACCAAACAAAAAACTACTGAGCCTAGTTTAACCGATTAAATTCATAGTTCTCGTGATATAATATATGATTATTTCCCTCATTATAATATGAACCAATCAAAAGCCTTGAATTTTCGAATAAATTTCGTTTAAATAAGCGATTAAATCACTAGAACTATTTAACAGCGATTAAATTTTAGCCTCCATATTGGATTTTTGTTTACGATTTTATGGTGTTATTTACAAGTTTTAACAAACATTTTTTAAAAAGCAATAAAAAATAAGTTATCTAGTTTTTTATTTGATTTTTCTTTTTGGAAAATAGTTTCATGCAAAATAATTAACAATAAAACCCCTCGACCACTACGCGGTCTCGTGATTTTATTAAATTATTTTGCATTCAACATTTTCCAAGAAAAACCAAACAAAAAACTACTGAGCCTAGTTTAACCGATTAAATTCATAATTCTCGTGATATAATATATGAAAAAAAAACATTTTTGCGACCGAGAAGTCATTGGAATTTTCATTTGTTTACTTAAAAGTTAATTGACAATAGGATAATAAAAAATAATTTTAAGTTTTTAATATTTTAACAAAATATAGATATTTAACAAAAAATCGTGAAAATTTTATTAATTTATATTTCACGGTTGTAAAAAACATTGTTGTTGAAATGAAAATTTTGAAAAACTGTTTTGGGGATTAATTTTTGATAGCCACTACTTTATATTAAAATATATTAATTTGAATTCCACGATCAAGTCCACTTGAGGTGATCTTATTCCTTTCTTGGTTGTTATTATTACCTGAGTGCAGTTGCCGGTATCGAAATCGTTGAAGGACCAGCAGCACTGCTCCTGGTTCAGCCAGAACGCTTGCGGGCAGATGCCGAACTTGAGGTCGGTCATCCAGCTGGCGCCGATGTCGATGACGCCGGCGACCGCGCCGGTCACCAGGCCGACGGCCAGCACGCACAGCCAGCCAGACCAGGCGTCGTGCGCGCCCTCCAGCAGGTTCCATATCGAGTCCTGCTTGCGTTTGACGATGTAGCGATGGCGCATGCGGTCGCGCGCGATGTCGCGCTGCCAGTCGATCGTGTGGAAGTCGTCGTACTGCCCGATGCCGGGGATGTCGGCACTTTCTGCAAGGGAAAAATCAGTTTCAACAGGTTTGTTCTATAGTACGAGCCCTAACCACATAATGTTCGGACACTTCATAATTTATACAGAATTTTTTTTCGTGAATACTATCTCAAAATTATTAGAAGTTATGAAAAATTCAGCTTATTTTGGCATATACCCCTCGAAGCGATTTTTATTTTTAAAAAGTTTACCTTTTATTTTTAGCTTTTAAAAAAAGGCTAACTTTTTAACTTTTTTTTGTATGAGTAAAAAAAGTTATAAATGGACCCATTAAAAAGAGCATAAAATATTATACAAACCCTGAAAATTTGGTAAAAAATAAATAAGTTATAAAAAAGTATAAGTAATTTAAAAATGCTATTTTTAAAGAGTTTTTGCAATTTTCTTAGGAAACGGGAGATTTTGCAGATATATATATCGCTATAACTTTCTTATTATTTATACAATTTTTACCAAATTTTCAGGGTTTGTATAATATTTTATGTTCTTTTTAATGGGCCCATTTATAACTTTTTTTACTCATGCAAAAAAAAGTTAAAAAGTTAGCCTTTTTTTAAAAGCTAAAAATAAAAGGTAAACTTTTTAAAAATAAAAATCGCTTCGAGGGGTATATGCCAAAATAAGCTGAATTTTTCATAACTTCTAATAATTTTGAGATAGTATTCACGAAAAAAATTTCTGTATAAATTATGAAGTGTCCGAACATTATGTGGTTAGGGCTCGTACAAACAAGAGTCTTACAAGACAACAAGGCATGTCCACTGGAAAAAATAGCTTTTTTGGGAAAAATTTAATTTTTTTTAGAAATATACATTTGAAAAAAAGTAGTAATCAACAACTTAACATTATTTTAAAAATAGGTAATAAAAAATCCTTTATTACAAAAAAATAAAGCTAAACATTAAATTAAATTTAAGAAAATAAACGTAAACGTGAAATATACTGTCTGTTGGATTTTTTTTTGCAAAAAAATATCTAACTACAAATGATTTATAAAGTTAAATTACAAAATTATAATTTTATAAATCAAAGTGTTAAATGTTATGTTAATATGGCACCGAATATGTTTTTTTTGCGGCCCGGTATAATAATCGTACTGAATTAAAATAAAAGGAATAATTATTATAAACATAATATTATATGATAATCAGCGTCGGAAATTCCGTAAAAATTTTAAATTTTCAAAAAAATTGACTTTTGCATTTTTTGTATTACCCTTTGAATAAAATATAAAAAAGTAAAAAGTCAATTTTTCTGAAAATTTCTCAATTTTTTCGGTTTTTTCCCCCGGCTCAATTTTTCCGGAAATTTTAAAACCCTATCCCTGAGCCAAAAAAATCGACCATTTTTTTTTGTAAAGTATATCGAAAAAATTATTATGAAAGTCATATCATCGCAATTTTAGATTTTTTTTCTGAGCGACTTTTTGCCTCAGAACTTCCAAACCATTGAGTTTAACAAAATATTTTTTAAAGAAAATGTAATGCTCTACAAAAAAGGTCTGATTGAAATTTCCCGTCAGATGAGCCGTTTCCTTACAATCATGCCTTAAAAATTGGACACTAAAAATAAGAATATTTGAATTTTTAGTAATAGTTTTATAAAAACATGCAAAAAAGTATAGTAATAGGACACATGGACCATAGTTATTGCACATACAATTTATATAAACCTAACAACTTTACATCAAATAACATAAATTGTTAAATATTTATTTAAAGATAAAATGCTGTTTTAGGGAATTTTTTTTATTTCGTGTTTGTAAATATCATATAATTCATATATTTTTTTTGTCGGATTCCTCATCCCGTTTCTGGATTCTGAAGGTAACTACTAATTCCTTGGTCTGACTTGTGAAATAGTTTGTTGCAAATATCATTGAGTATGGTATCTCTAGTTTGTGAAGCATTTATAATGTTTAGGCCGGAACAGGATTATTATATATATCTAATATTTTTTCTGGTGGTATGTTAAAAGTACTTTCCGAATTTATTAATTTTGTTGCCATTAGTTTTTTATGTTCTCTAAAGTGCATTGTTATTCTGCAAGATGTCCTGTGACGAAGAAATCACTATATTACTTACTCTCTAAAAATGAATTAGTCATAAATGTCATAGCGAAAACGCAGCCACTAATAATTCTCGTCCTCGGCAATTTGTATACAGGACATTTAGCAGTCAATTCCTATGAAATATTATTCGCTGAATCCAAAAATGTCGTCAGAAGTTATAAAAATAGAACAGTTTTTGAAATATAATCAATTTTACATATAATATGGAATTGACTAAATCTCAAAAACTACTTAACTTTTATAGTTTTTGACGGTCTTTTCGGATTCAGGGGACAATTTTACATAAGAATTGGCTGGTAAATGTCCAGGATATAAATAGAGTATGATATTGGACATATGTCTAATAATAGAAATTTACATTTTTTACCAACCAGTAATTGGACACTGGCCATTTTAATGTTTGTTTTCAGAATTAAAATTAAAACGCATTAAAGTGACAATGTTTAAACCATGAGGATACCACACACTTTTTAGAAATATTTTTTATTGTAATTGTTAATAAAAAACAAAAATCTTACTACCAAAGTAACGTGCTAACTTTTTTGTCTTATATTGAACCCAAAATAAAGTAGTTCTATATTATTACCGACAGATAGTTATAATTGTATACAGCGTCATCTAATGATTTGACTTTAAGGTAACTATTTATAGAACTCTTGTTTTTACAGTAATAATGTTAATTGTCCAATAACTATAGTGTCCGATAACTGTCTACTTTACCCTATAGTTTTACAATTCTCTTTTAACTTTGGAATTTTATAATTCCCTTAAAAATCAGTACCCGGAAAAAATAATACACACCATCAAAAGTTATTCAAGGTTAAAGTTGAAGTCAAAATGAAATTCTTGTTTTTCCCGCTGTAGATTTTTTTTGGATCAGTTAAAAACTTGAATTCTTTTAACGACGATAATCCTTATGTTATTGATAAAATTACTGAAAATTAAAAAAAAGAAATATATCACATTCGATTTTTTTCGCTTTAAGAAGCTATTTTCTTTAGAAAATATTATTTTCACTGTTATTTAATCGTTTAAATAATAACAATCATGTTGTTTTTTATTGGAAATTGTTAATTAGTTATATAATACACATTTATAAAGAAAAAAATCGAATTATCATCCATAAAAAACAAGAATTTCGTTTTGACTTCAACTTTAACCTTGAATAACTTTTGATTGAGTGAATTAAGCCAAAAATGTTAGGAGACTTTTTTTGTAGAGCATTTGATAATATCTTAATAATATCTATCGGTTTTTTCAGGGCACTGATTTTTACATGAATTACAAAATTCCAAAGTTAAAAGATCAAATTGTAAAACTATACCAATTTTTAAGGCATGATTTTAAGGAAACGGTTCATCTGACGAAAAATTTTATTTAGACCTTTTTTGTAGAGCATTCAATTTCCTTCAAAAAATGTTTCTGAGTCAATTTTTTTAAACCTAATGGTTTGGGAGTTCTGAGACAAAAACTATAACTATGACGAACACAAAACAGAATTTAATGACAATTGTATTTGTTAAAAATTTGACAGTGTCAACTGTCATCCGAATTTAACCTCACTTTTTGCCAATTTATAATAAAGTTAACTTCATCACGTGACTAAAAAGCTTAAAAGCCAAACATAATAATATGTACTTAATTACAAACTTACTGGTAGACATATCCCTAACACAAAAATTCTCGTTTAAAAACACTTGTTTCACATTTTAAACAACAAACTAAATAAAAAATTCACAATTGCAATATTATATCTTAATTACACGACTTTTTGGCGGCAACCGTTACAACAGCATTCTTTAAAATAAATTATTATCCGCAATATTTAAAGAGGACCAACTAAAAACCTTAATTACACACGGTGGTTTTGATAAACATGTGAAGCGTTATCTCACAATGAAAAAACACAGGCGTATGTGTACTGGGAAGCTCGAACATTTTATCAGCAAACTGGCATTTCAAAATGAATTCCAGTTATTGGAATTTTAAATTGTTTTCCTATAGTTATTTTGAAGCATTAAAAATGTGTTGTGAGTGTTTTATTGGTCTGTTTATTATAAATGTGCAAAGTTATTCATGAACGTAAAAAATTAATTGTTGATTAAGGTATTTAAGCACAATAATGAGGCAATATTTTATTACTAATTATTATTTAGTAAATACAGTCTTTAGTTAATTCAAGCTAATTTTTTTAAATTATATTTATAGTAATTATAATATCACGTTAAAGTCAAAATAATTTTAAAATTGTTGCAAATCTACAAAATTGTCCCTTGAAAAACAGCTGACACAAATTTTGTTTGAAATTTGTACAATTTATGCCAAGAGTTCGCATAAAATTTGTATCATAAAAAATTATGAATTTGAAAATACGCAAATCTTTTCAAAAAGTAAAAATTAAAAAAGTTGTGCCACATTATATTTAGTTAATTTAACAATAAAAATGGCAGTTTGCAGTTTCTTGTTCGGGACCCTTTGGTGACTTAAAAATGATATTTACCAAAATCCTAGCTGCTCCTCTTTTCGTTATTTTTTGAAAATTCATGATTTTTTTTTTAATTTTTGTTTATTTCAAAGTCTACCTTTGACAGATAGACCAGTGCCGAAGCCTTTAAAAATGGTAAAAAGTGAACAAAAATTACAGTAGGATGAAACCCATTGGAAAAGGAGGAGAATATAATAAAAAAGAAAGAAAAAATAAATTACGGGCGATCTGACTTCGGGAAGTGGGAGGGGGGGGGGTTTAGGGGTAAAAAATGGTTTATCTCGATTTCCGGCAAAAATACAAGTCCTATGGAAAAAAGTTAAATGGCAAAGTTGTAGGTAATAAAAAGATCTACAACTTTTCTATTTACAATTTTTTCACATAACCTCAAAATTTATGTGAAAAATTCAAATAACCAAGTTTTTGGTTTTTTATTTTTATCTTTTTCAAAAAAAAAATTTTTTCCACGAAATTTGGTGAAAACTTGCCTTTTTATGTCCCAAATACACTGTAATTTATTTGATTTGAAATATTTATTATTTCACCTTATTTTGACTTAATATCAAAAAAACACCCTTATTTTCAATCGAAAATTCTCGCGTCAAAATATCAGCTTTTTTCAAAAAGTCGGTGTGCTTTTTGTTCGTTGAAATCTCTACTTTCTGATGGTGTAAAAAAAATATACATTACTATGGTAAATGTTCTCAGAAAATGCAAAAAATATTATAATGAAAAACGAAAAAAACTCGAATTCGAAAATTTATTTTAATCATTATGTACAATTTCATCAAAAAAATGTGATTGTTGCAATTTTTTTAGTTAAAAAGTTTATTTATTAAATTCTAATAACATTTATGTCAGAAAATCTCATAAAATATAAAAATACATGTAAATCATACTATTGAATTTAGATACTTCATTCTGATTACGTTATTCATTATAATATTTTTTGTATTTTCTGAGAACATTTACCATAGTAATGTATATTTTTTTTACACCATCAGAAAGTAGAGAGTTCATCGAACAAAAAGCACACCGACTTTTTGAAAAAAGCTGATATTTTGACGCGAGAATTTTCGATTGAAAATTAGGGTGCTTTTTTGATATTAAGTCAAAATAAGGCGAAATAATAAATATTTCAAATCAAATAAATTACAGTGTATTTGGGACATAAAAAGGTAAGTTTTCACCAAATTTCGTGGAAAAAAAATTTTTTTTGAAAAAGATAAAAATAAAAAAACCAAAAACTTGGTTATTTGAATTTTTCACATAAATTTTGAGGTTTTGTGAAAAAATTGTAAATACAAAAGTTGTAGATCTTTTTATTACCTACAACTTTGCTATTTAACTTTTTTCCATAGGACTTGTATTTTTGCCGGAAATCGAGATAAACCATTTTTTACCCTTAAAGCCCCCCCCCTCCCACTTCCCGAAGTCAGATCGCCCGTAATTTATTTTTTCTTTCTTTTTTATTATATTCTCCTCCTTTTCCAATGGGTTTCATTCTACTGTAATTTTTTTTTGTTTCAAAAATTATCGACCCTGGTCTAAGAGTACACATTTGTACACCGATTTTTATAAAATTAGAGTATATTATTGAGAATACGTTTTAATACTGTTCACATCATTTGATATATACAGGGTGAGCCAAAAATCGCTTATTTTTAATAAAGCAAAACTCATGATTTTGGAATAACACGCAAAAAGATTTATCCCCATTTTTGTTTAGATATTTCTACGTTTATCAGGTTACAAAATGGCATTTTTATTAACCTTTTATAAAAAAATAGATTTTTAATAAAATTAAATAAAATAACGCTTAGAGAATATTTAAAATGTTGTTTAATTTAAGTTTTTTAATAGTTTTCAATTTTGACCGAAAAACTGGTTAAAGTTTTTTGATCGGCACTCTTTGGAGATTTAAAAACGATATTTACCAAAATTCTAACTGCTTTTTTTAAATTTGTTAAAAAAACATTTTTTTTAAATTATTTGTTTATCGCAAAGTCTACCTTTGCCAGAGTACACATTTGTATACCGATTTTATTGAATGCAGTTTCTTGTTTCCTAGCTGCTCTTCTTTTCGAAATTTTTTGAAAATTCTTAATTTTTTTTTAAATTTTTGTTTATCTTACCTTTGACAGAGTACAAATTTATTAATATTTAGTATATTGTTAACGAGACTTGGAGAATACTGTTTTCATACTGAGCACATCATTAGATTTATACAGGGTTAGTCAAAAATCACTTTTTTATACATATAGTAAAAAGCATAATGCACAAAAAAGATAAATCTATCTCCAAAAAATGTTATTTTATTTAAAATCAATTTTTCTTATAAAGTCTTAATAAGAATCCCATTTTGTAGCCTGATAAACATAAAAATATATAAAAAAACATGGGTGGGTATATATCTTTTTTGCGTGTTATGCCAAAATCATGAATTTACGCTTTTGATTTATTAAAAGAAGCGATTTTTGGCTATCCCTGTATATATTAAATGATGTGCACAGTATAGAAAGTATTCTTTAAATCTCCTTAACAATATACTCCAATATTATAAAAATCGGTGTACAAATGTGTACTCTGTCAAAGGTAGACTTTAAGATAAACAAAAATTTAAAAAAAAATCATGAATTTTCAAAAAATTTCGAAAAGAGGAGCAGCTAGGATTTTGGTAAATATCATTTTTAAGTCACCAAAGGGTCCAAAACAAGAAACTGCAATCTATTTTTGGCGGCATTTTTATGTGACACACCGTGCCGATAGGGTTAAATCAAACAAAATCCTAACCACTAACCAATACGCGATATACTTTATTTTGAACAAAATGTTGAATTAGGCCGACACCACAATGATAGAAAATCAAAGAACCGCAAGAATGTCAAAAATACATTTTACAATTCTCAGAAAATTTCATTATTGATAAGTTTTTGCTTGATTTTAAACCCACATTATTTGGTTAATTTGCAATTTTTCTAAAAAATTTTGGCTAAACTTTTTTTGATTGATTTTTTCGTTTATTTGACATTTACTTTCCACGAGAAATCTCATTAATTTTTCTTATGAAAAATTATAAAAAAATGCATAAATATTTGCTGCAATTGTACAAGTGAAAAATCGACAAATAAAGCGCTCTGACAGATGAAAAAAATTAAATACAAATACTGTTTTATTGGGCAGCGTAAATTTCGAGGTACTCATAAATAATGCATATATGTTTAATATAAATTGAAAATGATCTGGCTTACCTTGTACTCCTCCACCAAATGCAACTGAATCTGAAATTAATTTAAAAGAATTATACATGACCAAATTACAAACTAAAACTATAGGTTTGGTAAGAATTAAACTAACTTAAAATAGGTTCAAAAAAGATAAACAGAAATATGATAAGCAGAAATGTATAATTAGCCGTAAACATTTTGTATTTTATAAAATTATGTAAATTTTTATTATTATCTGCATTACATATATTGTGAAATTCCTAAATTATGGTTTGCAGAATTAAATTACATAGATTTCGTCATGCTTTGTAGAATTGATGTAATTCAGTAGGAATGTTATTTAATATTTTTTGTTTATAGATAAAAAAATATATACAATTTGTTTCTGTTAGGATGCAACCTAATCTTGTAACCGAACCTTGGAAAAAAGTATTGTTTTATAAAAATGTGAAGATAATTTTTTTGTTTAATTTATTAATTATCATACTGCTATTTTCAGTTATTAATATATTTAAAATTAACTTTGATATACATTTATAAACGAGCAATGCTCTATAATAGTTTATTTTTTTAAAAATACGCATGTATGTTAAAATATAAAGTTATGGGATAACGCCATCTATCTAATGGCGGGTTTATACAACTTCATATAATTAATTTATTACATAATTCACAATTTAGTGCATAAGCCTAAAAGTTAAATAGTACTATCTGCTATGAAAAAGTTTATACAACGATTTAATCCCTAACTCACAATTTAGTGTTTATTGAATAACCTTGAAAGTTCATAAAATTTAACTTTTATGAAATAAATTATGAATTATAAATAAGATTGAACAGCGCATGTGCCAACAATTTTTTTATCTCCATTTTTTAAGGTTATAATTAATAATTATTGTGTTTTGTGTTTGTGCCTTAAAAAATACTACAGTCTTACAAAACATGAGTTTTAATGAGGGATTTTGTTTTATTTGTCACTTTTAATTGTCAATATTGTCATTTGAAAATAGTTATTTACGATATAAGTGGGATAAGAGCTTTATTAACGTACGCATGCGAAATTTGCAATCGCAAAAGTACGTTAATAAAGCGTTATCACACGTATATTGTACAAATTTTTATCTACGCCTCTAAATGAAAAAAAACGGTAATTATTTTTGTCTAAGACTTAATTTAGGGTTATTTTGACATTTTGACTTTTTTATTTGATTGGTTAAAAGCAGAGAAAAACGCGTGCGTTAATGAACTTCTTATCTCACTCAAAATGAGTGGGATAAGAACTTCTTATCTCACAGGCGTAGATAAAATAAAATATATATTAAATTAATGGATTGTATAAACCAGATTTTAAAGTTATGTAGGGTAAAGTAGACAGTTATCGGACACTTTATAGTTATTGGACAATTAACATTAATAATGTAAAAACAAGAGTTAGATGACGCTGTATACAATTACAGTCGGTAATAATAATAGAACTACTTTATTTTGGGTCCAATATAGGACAAAAAAGTTAGCACGTTACTTTGGTGGTAAGATTTTTGTTTTTTGGTATAAATGGTTTAAACATTTAACACTTTAATTTTAATTTTGAAAACAAACAGTAAAATGGCCAGTGTCCAATTACTGGTTGGTATAAAATGTAAATTTCTATTATTGGACATATGTCCAATATCATACTCTATTACTCTATTAGTATCGCGGACGTTTACCAGCCAATTCTTATGTAAAATTGTCTCCTGAATTTGGAAAGACCGTCAAAAACCATAAAAGTTAAGCAGTTTTTGAGATATAGTCAATTCCATATTATATGTAAAATTGATTATATTTCAAAAACTGTCCTACTTTTATAACTTTTGACGACATTTTCGGATTCAGCAAATAATATTTCATAGGAATTGACTGCTAAATGTCCTGGATACAAATTGCTGTTGACGAGAATTATTAGTGGCTGCTTTTTCGCTATGACATTTTTGACTAATTCATTTTTAGAAAGTAAGTAATATAGTGATTTCTTCGTCACAGGACATCTTGCAGAATAACAGTGATTTAAATACAGTGCATGATAGAGAACATAAAAAACTAATGGCAACAAAATTAATACCACCCGAAAATTTTTTAGATATTTATAAATCATCCTGTTCCGGCCTAAACATTATAAATGCTTCACAAACTAGAGAGACCACACTTAATGATATTTGCAACAAACTATTTCAGAAGTCAGACCAAGGAATTAGTAGATACCTTCATAATCGAGAAAAGGGATAAAGAATCCGAGAAAGAAATATATGAATTATATGATATTTACAAAAACGAAATAAAAAAATTAGGTACCTAAAACAGCAATTTGTCTTTAAAAAATATTTAAAAATGTATGTTATTTGATGTTAAGTTGATATGTTTATATAAAAATTGTATGCTCAATAACTATGGTCCATGTGTCCAATTACTATATAAAATGTGCAATTACTATACTTTTTTGCATGTTTTTATAAAACTATTATTAAAAATTTAAATATTCTTATTTTTAAGTAAACGTAAATGAAGTTTAAACAAACAAACTATCCTTTTTATATATTTATAATATATATATAATATTCATTAAGTGTCCAATAACTATGTGGTTTACCCTATCACTTATAAATGAAAACATGTCCCATCAATTTCCAGCGTTTCCAAAATTCAAATTATACAACGCTATCTTGGTGTGTTTGTTTTTGTGATTATTTTTTTTGACAGTTCTCTGTATTGTTGGGACATTGTTGAGGCATTGTTGTTGAGGGAACCTACAGCGAATTACAGCGATAATTTTTTGAAAATTTTCTCTGGTAGTTGCTATATATAAAAAACAAATTAAATCTTAATTAAATGTTGTTTTATTCATTATGAAATTCTTATTTGTTAACTGTACATGGTGCAATTCTATTGGCCGACATTTGGGACGGAAAAATAATCCCCCGAATACCACACGAGCTTCAAAATTATCTGGCATTTCCCTCAAGGTTCCCTGCAAACAAATAAAGTCGTCAAGTTTTTCAGGAAAAATCACTCGCGCTTCGCGCTCGTGATTTTTTAACCTGAAAAACTTGACTCCTTCATTTGTTTGCAACGAACCTATCGGGAAAAATACCCGATAATTTTGAAGCTCTTGTGGTATTATAAGTGAAAATTCCACACCTGTAATTTTTAACCAATCAAAACGTGTATTTTTGATAGATCACCATGGCAACGGTTGAATTTTAGTGGAAATTTTTTCCTCGTGGGTACCCAACAGCGAATTATACTGGAAATTTTTTTGACGTTTATAATGACAGAATATTTTTTTGACAATCTGGTTTTTATTTGTTTACATGATAATTTTGATACATTTCCATTACAAAGTTTAGATGTTTTCTATATTCGTTGGACACCTCCTTTCTTCTTAATGGCGAAAATGCAGGACTTGAAATAAATTAAATGTCTATGTCTAATGAAATATATATAATATTTAGACACTATTCTATTCACCTTTTTTCCATTTAGCACTTTGAGTTTTGAATAGTTAAGATGCAAATATTCGTGAACAATTCAAAACAAATTTTCATTCTTCAAGTAGGAGCCACAATCCTCTAATAATGCGGGTAAATAAGTCATTGCACGATGATTGATCATTACAGCAGACAATTTCACATTTTTTTACGTCGTGCCGCTTGACAGCTTCAAAACTGAAATAACTTTTAGGTTGGGGTTGACTTAGTTGCCATGGTAACTAAATAATCAAGTCGAGGTCAAGTTAAATCAAAAAATAAATTTTAATTATTTAAACACAATTTGGTGTGGAATTTTCTTACCGAATACCACACGAGGTCAAATTAAATCCGGAAATTTTTTCTCCCTCATGAATATTTTTAGAAAATTATCCCTCGTCTTCGACTCGGGATAATTTTCAAAATATTCATGAGCTCGAAAAAATTTCCGGAAATAATTTGACCTCTAGTGGTATTACTAGTGAAAATTTATTTTATCTTTTTCTACTTACAATGTGACAGTCCATCTTCATCCTCACCCAGCCTGGCGCTCCTGTCTCCCCCAGCTGTCCCAGACCCGGATGTGGAAATATCAATCATATCGTCATTTGCTGTGTACGTGGCTCTTGAACCGTTCGTATACTAGAAAAAAAGTGAATACTAATAAATTAATGATTAATTGGAATTGAGATGGGAGATAAGATGCTAGTTGGTTCAAAACAGGCCATAAATAACGCAATGTAAAAACAAAAGAAGGTCGATAATTCGAAAACAAATGCTCAAATGAAAATCATTTATTTGGGTCGTTTTAAAAAAAACCCGCCTTCCGCTGTCCGTAAGTTTGAATTCCAATAACTTTGTTAAACATTATCGGATTTTATTGATTTAAAAACCAAGTGAAAGCCTAACAAGCCCTTAGTAAACTCTTTTTTTAATTTTGAAACTTGTGAAGCACACATTTTCGCATGTCCCATTAGCGTTTTATAAAACTTGTTTAAATATTGAATAACCAGAACTTTGTGTTGCTTTATAGCAATCCATAATATCCTTAGTTAATACAGTAAACAATTTATATATAAATTAATTAATTTTAATCTACTTTTTTTAAATTTGACTCATGTCCCAGACATTTTTTCCGTTGAGTTACGTCCGTCGCGTTACCGATAGAATATTTAAAAAAACATATATATGGCAACTTTTTTGGCACTCACGTGATTAACAAATGATGTTCGGACGTACACATTACCCAGCTGAATTTATTTATTCAATCAGGAAGAAGATATCGGTTGAAACAGGTGCGGGTAACGCGAATGTAATAATTGTTTGTCCGCTAAGTTACTCAAAAAAATAATTAAAATAAGGTAAGAAAAAATACTATTTTTCTTACTTCTTATGTTTATTTTAGGGCACTAAAGCTCATTGAGAGTAATTAATGACTGTAATGTTTTATTATTATTTTTTACATATGGTTTCACAAAACTTTGTCCACTGCGTTACCGAGTCCATTACGTTACCTTATGGTAACGCAATGGAATTTAGGGTAACGCAATAGACTTTTTCGACAACTTGTGAAGCACACATTTTCGCATGTCCCATTAGCGTTTTATAAAACTTGTTTAAATATTGAATAACCAGAACTTTGTGTTGCTTTATAGCAATCCATAATATCCTTAGTTAATACAGTAAACAATTTATATATAAATTAATTAATTTTAATCTACTTTTTTTAAATTTGACTCATGTCCCAGACATTTTTTCCGTTGAGTTACGTCCGTCGCGTTACCGATAGAATATTTAAAAAACATATATATGGCAACTTTTTCGGCACTCACGTGATTAACAAATGATGTTCGGACGTACACATTACCCAGCTGAATTTATTTATTCAATCAGGAAGAAGATATCGGTTGAAACAGGTGCGGGTAACGCGAATGTAATAATTGTTTGTCCGCTAAGTTACTCAAAAAAATAATTAAAATAAGGTAAGAAAAAATACTATTTTTCTTACTTCTTATGTTTATTTTAGGGCACTAAAGCTCATTGAGAGTAATTAATGACTGTAATGTTTTATTATTATTTTTTAAATATGGTTTCACAAAACTTTGTCCACTGCGTTACCGAGTCCATTACGTTACCTTATGGTAACGCAATGGAATTTAGGGTAACGCAATAGAATTTTTCGACAACAAAGTGAATATTTACCGTCGCTTTTATTAAAAGTAGTTTATGATAAACCAATTTAAAATTATTTGTGATTACAACTCATGATATAGATTACATCCAAGGGAAAATTCCACGCAATATACAAGTACTAAAAGACACCAGCTTATAGTCAAAGAAAAAGGGTGTCTATAATTTAGAAATCTAAGTTGTTATTCTGCAAGTGAGCACCACTACAAGGGATTTTGTTGTTGCATTACTCTAAAATCGTACCACCCTATATAGTTTCTTTTTTACGTTATCTGATTAAGTCCTTTGTGTACCCCAGTCCGTTGTGATACCAATGTCTATTTCGTTCCTTTTTTTATTTTTGTTAAAAAAATCCTTAAAATGATTTAACTATCACTTGGTAATACCTGTTTATAAATTAGAGTTTAACTCACTAATACAGTGACTAAAAGAAAATATTAATGGTATTGTTTTTTTAACAAAGAATCGGAATGGTGTCTTTTAAGGTAGTTGTCGTGGTACAATATTGTCAAAAATTTTTAGATTATACGCACCGTAAAAGTATAAGAGCTTGTAGCTAAGTGAATCATAATTTATTCGCAAGACTGTACCCTGGAGACGATACCTTTACGTAATAGTTTCAAATATTTTCATAAGTTTTAATCCGGCAACGTCGCTTATGCTCAACCAATAGATATATTGGAGACTGAATCAGTGTTTGAATTTACTGCGGATATAATATCTATACTCGCGTACAGCGTTGCCAAGTTGTTTTTTTCTGACACTAGTGATGTATACTTTTTACAAATTGTTGAACTTTAAACGGTTATTTATAAACAATTGGACGGTCAAAAATGTTCAATTATTTTTTTTAAACTCAGCAAAAATACATTAAAAGACTGTTAGTTTTTTGAAAGCTTCTGACAGTTAGTTTTTTTTTTATAACTAAGAAACTGGTACAGATCTACAGAAAGCCTATACAATCCATGTTAATTATCCAATTTTTAATTGAATTTATCTCGGGTTATAGACGGTCAATCGACTTCAAATTTTAAGGATAATAATTATTTTAAGGATAATAATTATTTTAAGGATAATAATTATTGTATTGTCATGTCCTTAATATGTATGTAAAAATTTAAAATTTTCTGATGGTATGCTTACAGCACGACAACTACCTTAAAAAGTAACTTAACTAACATAAATATTTAAAAAAGACATACAATTTTTAATAAAAAATAAAATTGGAGTCAAAAGTTTATTTATTTTTATAACAACTTTTTTTATTGAATTAAATTTTGTATTTTAAATTGGTAACACAGTGGAGACATATAAAGCTAGCTAAACACATTTTTCTGAAAAAAACGTAAAAAAAATTAAAAAGTGCACTGCCAGTCTTAAATGTGAGTAAACAAAACATTTATAAAAAACCAACCAAAAGTCAATTTAAGCAAAAAAAATTTTGATCTTCATTTTCCTGAAAGCGGGTGTTTCTTGAAAATGACCCAGATATTAGAGAGAAGAGAAAAAACTGTATTCAAAAACCAATGAAAAACATTTTCCAATAATAGAAAAACGTTATTTTCTTAGGACGAGTTAGAGATATTTAAAAAGTTTTTGGCGAAAATTAATATAAATTTGTATTCAATAAAAATTATGTTAATATAACACCTACCTACTAAAATATTAAATAATCACACCTATATTGCAACGTATACACACTAAACATGTTAGAAGTACTAAAAAATGTGTAATAATGTATTCTATACCTGTGCTTAAAGAAAAAACTAACAATAATCCCTTTAATCGCGAGAAATCTGACACGTCCGGAACTAAAAATGTAATCGAAGGATTAATGAAGCTTTCAGGTAAACATTTGTGTGGTTTTTCGGGAGTGAGGACAGACTTATCGTACGAACATCGACGACGGCGCGCTCGCACGCTAGATCGATACTTTATCGGGTCATGAATGGACAAGGACAAGGCCGTCGCCGTCCTTTCCTGATCCTCCACTGGGGCACTGGTGTAAGAGCGTGCGATTGCGATTGTTTTGGTGCATTCGATGCACCATGCTCGAGTGTCGCGTGGCATTCCTGATTTTATTGATGTTCTCAGTGACAACATCTCATAAAGTTTTTATTAGGTTATAATTATTCTATTATCACTATAATAGTTATTAGATGTTTATTAAAATGTTAGTTTTTAGGTTAGGTTAGGTTAGGTTAAGTTACAGTCTTTTGTGTTTATTGGTGGAATTATGCAGCACAAATTAATTAATTAATTAACATTAACAAGCATAAATACCCTCCTATTGGTAAAATTCCTGCATATAAATGATTATATTTTTAGAAGGGGATTTATAAAAAAAAATATCGATTTTTTTAAATGACGGCCTGTGTAATGAAGTCTGGCATTTTATAGCCTAAACCAAACCAAATAGATGAACATCTGACGGTATAATTTTGATGCAATGAAGCGCCCTTATACGGTTATGGAGGAACTAAAATGCAGCGTTGCCAAAAGCGACCGCGTATATTTAAATTTTAAAAATTTATTTTATTATTTGAGATTGTCAGCGTTACCAAATTCTGTCAAAAAAACGTAGATTTCGAAATAGCCTTAACTAAATAACTAAATATTTTACACAATCAACAATAATTAAATATCATAAAATGACAATTTGCATTTTATCATTTTTATAGTTATAATACAATAAATAATATAATCAAACAAATTATACCTTTTTTTACAGAATTGGGCCACATTGGGTCTATATATAAAAATTTAATTTTAAATATACAAATTAAAATAAAAATAGTTAAGGGTATAATTAAAGTAATTTGAATTAGAAATATTTCTTTATTATGTATTACAAAATATATATAAAATATACCTCTTAAAAAATATTAGTAATAAAAGTACATACAATAAAAGATTATAACATAAAAAAAACCTAATATTTCCCCTTAAAATTTAGCAAAAAACTTGTATTAAAAAAAAGAACAAACCTCTACATTTTTTAAAACTAAATTTAATAAAACTTAAAAATACCTGGTAATAATTTTGTTGGGTAAGCCTGACGATTAAGCCTTCTATTAGCTATAAAGTCTTTCTCAGCAAAATGCTTTGAACACATGTGCAGAGTGCACTCTGCAGTTTTTGAAGACTTTTTCAGGTGTCGTTTCAAAAAGTCGTTTATTTTGACACAACTTAACCCACTGATTAAACAAGTCCATATGCCAAGGACGTGACGTCATTAGATACAGCGACATCTGTAGGACATGGAGAAAGTTTATTTTAAAATACCCCCCCCCCCTATTGAGATATTCGTCTATTTGGTTTGGTCTAGGTTTTATAGTATATTAAAGAACTAATGTCATAAGACGTCATTTTGTCGCACGCGGACAATTATATAAAATTAGTATAATGGACAAGTGCGACAAAAGGTCTTATGACATGAGTTCTTTGTGCTATTTTATCTATTTTGCAAACATTTCATAAAACAAATTAATTTTATACCTTATATTTAATTTGGTAGAATTTTACTTTACATAGTTGGTATCTCAGTTTGAAGTTTGAAAGGTCATTAACCTTTCAAACATTATCACATTCTTTCGCTATGGCGTCGTTAATTTACAATAAGTATTTAAGAAGAAAAAAGGATTTTCTTTGGTGTTAAACAAAATTTATTGCACGAAAAGTCTCGTAAGTACTAGAAAACAAATCATAAAAATATTATAACCTATAGGTATTCAATATTTTATTTTACTAGTAGCCAACCTATAAAATCAAAATTTTGGGTGGAATAAAGTACCTCATTAAAGAACCAAAAGCGGTGTTATAATGAAGTCATTATGAACGCGAAATATATAAATTAAGTTTTTCAGTACCTATTAATTTTGCTTTGTCTTGTCAATTTTTCCATTTAAAAACAATATGTGACGCTTGTTCGTTTTTTCTGATTGGTCAAAATATAAAGGAGGAAAATAATCGTCTTACCTACTATTTAATTTTGGTTATTATTAAATAAGGTAGATACAGTTTTTTTGTTTGTAATTTGACAGGGGGTAACCAGGGGCGTACACAGAAAAATATTGCAGGAAGTTTAACTTTTGCATACTTCAGGGGGGCACCTATTTATTAAAATTTGCGACTTTTTTCTATGAAAAGGGGTTAATAATGGAACTATTTCCCACAGGCTGTGGGCCACAGCACAATAATATTTTGACAGAGAATGCAGTACTCTTTTTTATAAAGTACTAGATGACCCGGTGAACCTAAAATTCTTTATAATTGATTATCAATTCTTCATTGATCACTGTAAAACGACACTATTTAAACTAATTTAAACAATTAAGAACTAATTTCTCGCTAAAACAATTGAATGAATGAATTTGTGGTTATGTTTTTTTAATTAATCTGAAGCGCAGCTACGCACGCCATCTATACAAATTAATCCAAAGATGCACAAAATGTATTTTTTATTTAAATCATTATAACCGAATGAAAGCTTGAACTTAAACCAAAGGAAACTTAAATATTAGTTAAAAAATCGTGGGTACTTAAAAAAATCAGATTTAATTTAATAAGATCATTATCACCAAAAAAGTGATATTTTTATGGAAAAATTATTCTAGAATCGTATACAGAAGAAAAATCGAACAAAATTGTTTTTTTTTTATTACAGCGTCATCTATTACAAATATGAAAAAATGTTTTAGACAAAATCTACCTATTTTTAGTCGAATGATCCGAATCTGCAATAAAAAATAGAGTGTTCCATTGAGGACCAATTTTAGTACTGAGTGATTTTCCCCCTCAAATCATTTAATTTTTATTTCAAAAATTTTTTCGTAAAATGCATACCAACTGAGATATTTCAAAGTTTTAAGTTAAATGACTAACCCTGTATATATAGAAGAAGATAGATAAATATGTACTTAGATAAGAGAAGAAGAAAGAAGATAGATAAATGAGGAGCATCCGTGCAAAACCGGCTATATCCACTTTAATAAAATGTTGGGAAAATGGCAAAAACTCTCGGTTTCCTGGCCTTTACAGATAAAAGAAAAAGTAAACTTGAGTTTTGTGGGCTTTATGGTACTTATAAGGCCAAAATTTTAAAAATAATAGCCGGTTTTGCTCAAAAACCGAATAAAATGTGAAAAAAAAACCTTTTTTAGGTATTAAAAAATATTAACAAAATAAATTTAGTGCAAACATGAAAAAACAGAACAAATTTTAGTAGTAGTATCGACATATCCAAGTCACATGCTCATCATCATTATTATTTATTGGATATAGCCGGGTTTGCTATAAAAACGTGGATTTGGCCGGTTTTGCTCCTAAAGCTACCTTTTAAATGTGATTTTAACATGGATATAGTCGGATTTAAACAGAATTATCTTGGTTTTTGATAGAAATGAACCCAAAGACGCAAAATCAAAAAAAAAACAAAAACTGAATAAAATGGATTTAGCCGGTTTTACACGGATGATCCTCAAATATACTATACCCCCTGGGTATAGCATTAAAAAACTACAATAATATTTGTGGATATGAAATAAAAATACCCGTATGCAGGGGCTTAAACAGAAAAAAAATTCGGGGTTCAATTAAATTCCCAAAACACAACTGTTTCTCACATTTTGATAGGGGGAGGCGTTCAAGCCTTGCCTGTATGTAGTTTGTTTGCTTCTCAAAACTGTGATTTTCTTCTGTTAATATTTCAATACAACAAGTAACCATTATGGTCTATGCAAAAGACTATGGTAGTAACTAACTTTTTGGCATTTGAACTGCGGAACGAAAATGTCCATTAGATCATTTAATTTAAATTAAATGTACCTGAGACACAAATATTATACTATTAGGTACTTGAAAAATAGTGCTTTAATAGGTAAGAATACATTTGTAACTCAAATTTAACCAAACATGATAAACTATAGTCTTAGTTGAAGGATCAATTTTTCATGACTTAAAAATTTAAAAACTTTAAAATGTATAATTTTGGACTTGGCAATTGAAAACATTTAATAAATTGAATTTTCAACGTAGAGAGGCCAATAATCATATAAAATTAAAAACCTAAAAATATGAATAAAAATCTTAAATATAAATAAAAATGTAAATAGCGTAAATAAAAACTAAAATAAAGTATTAAACACCAAATGTTTTCTACTAAAGTGAGTCAATATACAAAAATAAATTGCATTTTAATCTACCTACCCAGTTAATAAAAACAAACAGTGTAATTTTTGTAAACTTTTACAATTTTAATTTTAACAATGTAGGTAACTACTTGCTTTTATGTTTTTTTTTAACTTTGTATAATTATAATTATTACCATTACAAACATACAAGGAACATATGTTTCTAGAATACTTCACACTACAAAACTATAAATTTTTATCTAATCTTGCAAAAATTATATTTATTTACTCATAAATGGAAAGGCCTGGGATAAACATTGTATATACATAAAGCTTGCACATAATTCCATAGTTATTAAGCATATTTAAGTTATAATTTTTATTAATTTATTTAAAGCTTGTACAAAATTGTCCATAATTATTAAGCTTAGATAAAAGTTAAAACATATTTACTTGCATCAAAGGCTCATTTTCTTCGCCTGAGTCCATTTTGTATTCGTCTAACATATCTTCAATGGACTACAAGTTTAAAGTAACACTGCCAGCTCTTTTTTAATCTTTTAAGCACACCTTTCCCCTGTCTAGACCAATTTCCTATAGTTTATTGATTTTAGAAGCTGCAGAGAATTAATTTATTTTAGTATGTTTTAAATACAGTACTACCACTTTAAGGGTTTTATGTTATTGTTAAATTTTACTATGATTATACAAACGTTTGTAAATAAAGTGGAGAAGTAAAAAAATAACATTTTATTATTTTTTATATGGACATAATACCTACCTACTAAAAGGGAGCTACAATATTTTGTTTGTTTAGTTTATTTGAAACAGAGTTTATATACAGAAAACAACTGTTTTATTGGTTTAAGCAAAAATAAATAAATAAATTATTTACCCAGTGAAATTTATGTAAAAAAATCAAAACATATCAATTATTTACTTTGTTGCAAAACCCAAATAATAACGGGCTTAAGTTTACCTTTTTGTTTACTGCCTGATAAGTAGGCGAATTATGTGGAGACGATAGTCCTGTTCTCTTCAAAGGGTATTTTTCCATGATCACTCAAGAACCTAAAAGGCATATTTAAATCATAATCGACCAATAAACTAGTGCAACATATTCGATATCAGTTCAACGCACTGCAGTGAAAGTATGTGATTTTTTGCATTGCTAGAACACCCTGAACACGGCAAAACTCACCATTTTTACGCATTTTTTGAGCGTAAATTTAAGTTAGTCGTAGTATGCACTGCGATTTAAATAGGACACATCACTAGAACGCATTTATCTATTTGTAACCAAAATATTGGAATATTTGACGAAAACGCGTCACCCGCTGACTGTCAATGTCATATGGAAAATTACATTCTGTTGGCTACAATGGAAATGCAGGACTCTTCACGTGCTTCATTTAAAACACAAGAGATGGCGCCACGTGTATCGATTCGATAATAATTATTTTTCTTAACTTGTTTGCGTAAAATTCGACTTTCTTAACCCGATTCGCAAAACCCTGAATTTTGTTCACATTCTTGAGAAAACTAGAGTCCTTAACTTGTGCATAAAAGCTTTTTTAACGAATGTGATTGCAAAACTCGCCTTCGAGCCGTCTTGCAACCTTTAAGTCTGATTTATAGAGTGCCTTCCTTCCTTCCTCCCTACCTTACGTAAAGATGAAAAATACAAAAACCGTTGTGCCGTACGGGAATACTCAAAAATAATTTATAATAACCTTTATCCTACCAAAAAGCACGCCTCTTATCGACTAGAAACTTTAGGGTAATCCGGTTGCCTAATTTAATTTATTGTGTTATGGTTGGTAACAACCAGCGTTTCCAGATTCTGTCAAAAAAGTTGCCAAATTTTGTATAAATTTAGTTTAATAACAAAAATGACAAATCAACAATGCAAATTGTTAATTTGGCGTTTTTATTAATTGTTTATTATGTCATTTTTGTAATGAAGGTAAATTCAAACAAAATCTGGCAACTTTTATGACAGAATAGTGCATTTCTTTTAAATTTTAGGTTATGTGCTCAAATTGTAAATATCTTTACTAAGGGAAGTGCTTTTGGATTTATTTACACAAATTGAATATTTAGAGTTTAACCTGTGAACTTGTCCTAATTTCATCTGAGTAAAAGAAAAAAACCGATGAAAAAATTAATTTTGTGGTTGTGAAGTTTTTAAAATAGGTAGGTACTATATTTTCTAATCATTGCTTAAACTGGATGAGTAAATAAATACAGAAGGGTATTAGAGCTTTCGTATTTATTATGTTTAATACCTAAATTGATTTGTAACAAAAATAGTTGTATTATAGAGTATATTTTATTACAGACGTTTAAGTTACCAAAATTTGTGATACAGTTTATAAATGAGTCCTAAAATATACTTTATAGATAAATACTTGCTAAATTTAAAATGCAATATTTCCAATATAAATACTATTGTGCTTATAGTCAAACCATTTAACAATAATAAAAAAATCCCCCTTAGATGAATGAATTGTAAACTTATTGTTTCAAAATCTATTTTTTGTTTCTTGATTTTTTCTTGTGACCACCCGTACCCAACTTCGAAACATCTAAGTAAAAATTTGTTTAAATCATTTAAATAAGGTGAGTCCAGTTGGAATAAATAGGTACTAAACCCAGGTACTAGATATTCATTTATGTAGTTATATTTCTTTGCCATTTTGGCTCCATCATGTTTAAACAAAGCACTTGCTTTACTATTCGGCAAAATAAATGCTTCATAGACAGATTTGTTGAAAATTTTATCGTAAATTTGGGAGTACACGCTTGGTATCAGCTGTTTATTCAGACCATATGTTGTGGGTATGGAAGAAATCAGTTTATCTTTTATGTTAATTTTAAGGCCGCTGTCACGAAGCTCATTAATCGTTTTTATATCTCCTACATATTTTGGTTTCAGTAGTTGTACCTTAAGTCCATCTTGGTATGTTATACTGGTGATCAAAGCAAAAACTATCAAAGAAAATATGAGTATTCTTATTGTTTTCTTCTGTTTGTCCAGAGTTTTAATTGACTGTAAAACCAACGGGCTATATAAGCGGAATAACAAATCGAAAAATTTAACATTTTTAGACAGAAGTTTAGCTGTAATTGTTAGTATTAAAGGTAGCATAAACAGTACTGCAAACTGCACAAAGGCGTTCGAAAAGGTGGCCCCAAATATTATTTTTGGCCTTGGTACCACAATCACCACATTATCCATAGTTACAGGGTAACTGATAAGTGCAAAAGCACTATTTTCCAGCAATACAAAACTTGGTACAAACGTGAAATCCACTATTTTTTGTTGAAGTAGTTTTGTTAAATTGGTTTGAGTTGTTTCAAAAATTTCGTATGTGGCATTTCTTACTTTTACGTATTTGTAGAGTAAATTAAAGTCTGCACCCACCCATTTGTTATTTTTCTTTACGTTTTTGGGGAAGTCTATATAAGCTCCCACGTTAAATTTGTGATGGTGTAGATTAACAAGTTTTTCTGGGAATAGTGCTTTTGATTGGTTTAAGTAAATCGTCGCATTTTGGAAGGGATTGTATGTTAAAAATTGAAATCCGGTGTCTCGATAGATGAACACAAAATTTAATATTTTGTAGTTCCAAAATTTTGCGAGAGTTTCTTGCAAATTTGGTTCGTTGTTTAATTTGGGACAAAGAACACAAAATACATAATCATGCACGTTAATTTTGTTGACATACAAGTTCAAACTTGCAAGTTCGCTGAGGAATAACACCGAAATGCTTGTTTCTAATATTAATGGTTTTGTAAATCCAGTTCTCACCGGATATTTGCAATTTTTAATAAACCAGTCCACTTTGTAACCACAATCTGAATCACCATATATTTTAAACGTGATGAAATTTCTGTATAATATTTTCTTAAAATCCTTATAAACCATCAAATTATTTGTGGTAAACTCTTCATCTTCTTTCAGTACAATTTGGGATTTTATAAGTACGAATAAACATAAAACACATATCTCAAACATTGTGTTGTTTTGCCCACTGGCTAATATTTACTATATTAGCCTATTTCATGATTAATAAATGAAGTAGACATTCATTACACTAATTAATCACCGGCCGTGATCATAAACAAGATATTTATAAAATATTACCATTTAACGTAATTAAATGGTGTTTACTGTAATTTTTCTATTTACTTATTAATTAATATAATATTATATGAAATATTAAAGCTTATATTTGGTGGAAAGTTTATTTAAAACAAACAACAATAAATGTTTTAACACTAAAAATAATGATACAAATGGAAAAACAAAAACACACATATAAAATGTTTTGTTCATTATGTACTAATGCGTTTTTTTGGAGGTAGCTTAATCGCATAAATGTCTTAACCTAAGACCTTATATGGTTTTAACATTCTTTTAACTTAAATTTTAAAAATTTTCAGTGTATTATTGGGACAAAAACCTACGATTTGTCAAAGTAATGAGATTATTTTTATTTGCAGAATAAACTTTTTTTACTGTTAATAAAATTCTCATTTACTATAATAAAGCAGCAATGTTAAGCTTTTATAAAAAAAAATGCAAATATTTGCAACATCCCTGCACTGTAAGTTCTGCTTTAAAGTTGTGCATTAAAAATAATGTAACAACCCGAAATTTCAGATCTGCTTAATGCAGAAACAGTTTTGTTCCCCAGAAACTTCTAATGGACCACGAATGTGAAACACCCTGTATAAACTTCTTAAGCTTTTATAAAAAAAATGTTCATCCAATAAAGTAATAGTTGTTATCATATTGTCATGGCAATAAGAAATACTTTATGATTATATTAAATCTTTGTCGAACTTAAAATGTTTTTGTTAAATCTATAGATATGTGTGAATTGCGCTTAAAAAGAGGGGGAAAGGGCCAGCGCTCTCCTTGGTGAACAAAACTTTTTAATCCACAGTCAGTGTTATAATCTTATTGATTTCACTTGTGCAAGTGAGGTGTGGTAAAATCTAGCATGATAAAAATATCAAAAAGATCACTAAGATAATTAAAATTTCGACGTTTTCTAAAAGAAATATTTTAGGTCTATTCTATAAACGAAGCAGACTTGTTGTTTAAAAAATGAGTTTATATTTTTTTATTTTGTACATTATACAGGGTGTCCCGAAATTAGGGGGCCAAACTTAAACAGCGCATTCTTTATAGACACTTTTTTGTTTAATAAACATGTATCAAAAAATGCCCCCTAACGGAGCTACGGCCCCCTGAATAGGAGCCTAAGAGAATAGTTTTTTTAAACTATTCCTAGAGCGTTAAACATGAAGAAATGAAAATTTGGCACTTTGGTAATTTTTAGATGCTGAATCAAGATCTAAGATCAAAACTGTTAAAATTTAATCATAGGCGTAACATTTGGGGGGGAAAAGTTATAAAAATAGCCCCAACTTTTTTCCGAGATAATATTTTAATTTTTTTTTATGAAATTATGAAAACTTATAGTTTTTTACGAAAAATAGGTAGTCTTGATTTGAATCGCTCAGATGCACCATTTTCGAGAAATATGCATTTATAAATTACTCTGCATAGCATACACATCTCATATTTTTGTTAAAATTTGAAAAATCGCTCTATAATAAAAAATAACAAAAATCGAGCCAAAAAATATTAACTAAACTATAAAAGTAAATGTAAAGTCAGCAAATAACCCAAACGACACTTTTGTCCCAAAGTTTTTTAATGAAAATATTATAAATTATGCTAAGCATAGTAATTTAAATTGCAATTTTCTCGAAAATGGTGCATCTGAGCGATTCAAAGCAAGAGTACCTATTTTTCGTGAAAAACTATACATTTTCATAATTTTATAACAAAAAATTAAAATACTCACTCTGCAAAAAGTTGGGGCTGTTTTTGTAAATTTGCCCCCTCAAATGTTACGCCTATGATTAAATTTTAACAGTTTTGATTATAGATCCAGATTCAGAATGTCAAAATTACCAAAGTCCCAAAAATTCAGGTCTTCATGTTCAACCCTCCAGGAATAGTTTTAAAAAAATGATGCTCTTAAGCTCCTATTTAGGGGGGCGTTGGTCCGTTAGGGGGCATTTTTTGATATATGTTTATTAAACAAAAAAGTGTTATGTTTCTATAAATAATGCACTGTTTAAGTTTGACCCCCTAATTTCGGGACACCCTGTATAATATGAGTTAATTTTTTTGTTATAATAAATAATTTGTTTTAATGCCTTGCAATTATTTAAAAAAACTACCCAACACCCAGCAGTAGGTTGAAAATGTGACCATTGTTACAATGAAAATAGTTTATTGAATTAACAGTTAATTTGTTAAATTTACATAAATTTTATTAATATTATAAAAAAAGTTTTATTTTAAACGAAAAGGGATTTGTAAAATTTACAAAATTTCTATGAATAATACCATTAGGGTTTCATTAATAAAATAAAACGTTTTTGTAAACGGTATAGAACTGTTTTTTTTGGACAAATAGTAATAACTATATTTAACAATGCGTTTCTGCATTTGGAAGAGTGTTATTTTTAGAAACATAACGTTAATTTACTTTATAATTAATGCAAATGCTATTACTGAAAGCAGCGTTTGTAGATAAATAATTTTTATAAAAATGATATTTTTGCCGTAACAAAACAAACTGGATAATGACAGTACATGCTGATTCTAATATTAATGCGGAAGTTCCGCGATGGCGGATGCGGAAGCAAATATTTGCAACATCCCTGCACTGTAAGTTCTGCTTTAAAGTTGTGCATTAAAAATAATGTAACAACCCGAAATTTCAGATCTGCTTAATGCAGAAACAGTTTTGTTCCCCAGAAACTTCTAATGGACCACGAATGTGAAACACCCTGTATAAACTTCTTAATTTTGTAGATGCACATTTAGCCTTTGGTCTGTAAAAACGTACCTATAGGTATAAGTATACTTTCTTGAGTTAATAACATTAAAGTAATTGGAAAACAATTATAGTGCATGCCTTTTAGTTTAATGAGTAGAAAACAAAAGTTATTATTGGAAAATAACTATTAATTACTATAATTAACATCGTTATAAACGTTTTCGACTAGTTAATTTTTCACTAAAACAAAATGAATTGCCTTATGATTTGTTGGTTATTTTTTCTTCCAATGGTTTTCTCAGCAATGATGCCTTTAAAGGAAGCTAAAACAAGTGGCAGAGAATGGAACATTTACAACAAATTCAAGCAAATTTCTTACATACAAAGAAACACTCAATACACGACTTACTTTACAGGTGATTTTGTTGGGATATGTCGTGAAAAATCGATTTTTTTTTTGAAAAACTTCATATTCCCTTATGTGGTTACAAACACTACAACAAAAAATGACCATTTCATGAGAGCTGGTTTTGTTGTATTGTATATGGATAACTTGGCTAAGGTTAAGTATTTTATGGCACAAATAAAGAAAAATTCATATTGGTCCAGTGATACCTATTTGGTAGTATACTTGTGTTTTAATGTTTATAACCATAATGAAATAAAGGTGATACATGACATGTTGTGGAGTTTAGAGATAATAAAGTATTATATTAGTTACGATTTAAAAAGTTTGTATAACAATCAAACAACGAATCATAAAGAATATTATAATCATTTTAGTAAAAAATACGTTGACTTGAACAAAAATAAAAATTACCATATGGATTTGGTCACACAAAATTTGTATGGGTACAAGCCAAGGGTTGGAATTTGTGATGATTTTCCAAAAAACTGGAAAGATCCCAATGGAACGTGGGTAGGTGGTGATGTGGGTGTATTAAATTTATTCTTAAAATCAAAGAATGCGACTGTGGAATTTGTGGAAGCAAACAGATATAAATTAAGGGATCTAGCGTTTAGAGAAAAAATTCATTTTAGTATAATACCACATTTTGTGCAAGAAACTGATATAAAATCAAATCAAATAACATACCCATTCACAATAATAAATCTAGTAGTACTTCTTCCACGACCAAGCTACAAGAACAAAAATTTGTTTTTCTTTGATTCTATAACTTTTTTAATCATGATATCATGTGCTTCTCTGACAGGATTCATCATTAGGATCATTTCTAGAAATGAAGATTTTATGACCTACTTCTTTGAAGCATTAAGAATGATTCCCTTACAACCTGTGAGTCATTTTGGAAAACGAAAATGTTACGTCAAAATCGTTATTGTTATATGGTTATTTATATGCTTGCTAGCCACCATAACTTATGATTCAAAACTGACCTCAACATTTTTAAGTCCTAAATCCTCTTTATTAACCACTATCGCACAGATTAAAGAAAGCAAAATTATTGTTAATATAAACCCTGGAATGGATTCCATAATTCCTGCTGAAGTGAGATTGCAATACACTACTACAAGCGATAATGATATCGTGAAGAAAATAATACAAGTCAAAGAAGAAGCGTATATTTTTCCCGACGACAAAGCATATTATCTGTTTTATTTCTACTCTAAGCTGCATTTGGAGGAGAAATATTACATTGTGCCGAACTATTTAAGAACTGATTTTATAACTTACCTTTTTTCAGACAATTCGCCCTTTTTAAAGAGCATGAATACATTTTCTAATGAACCTATTCGAAGGTGGGTTTCTTAAAGAAAATTATTATATAAAAACTAAACTAAAGTCAAGAAAGCAGTGCATTTTGTAAAATAAAAACTAAGATTTAAACATTTAAGTGGTATTTTTTTATTTTTTTTGTTGGGTTTGGGATTAAGTTTTATAGTTTTTTTTATTGAAATTTTGGTTTATAGCTATAGAAAGTTTGTATTTTTCAAATAACTTGTTTTTAAAAGACCATGGTCTCTTTTAAACTTAAACTTTTCTATAGACTTAAATGGATTATAAACGCTTTTAAAATTTCAAATCGATATATTTTTTCGTTCCTCCACTTCTAATGGACTGCGAATGTGAATTACCCTGTATATACTTCTTAATTTTGTAGATGCACATTTAGCCTTTGGTCTGTAA